CCTCCCTTAAGCCTAAGCCCTGATCGCATAAGCATCTGGAGGTCGTCAAGGGCTCAGGGTCTAGTCTTTGGCTCAAAACCCAGGGTTTAGGGTTTAGGGTTTAGGGGTTAGGGTTTAGGGTTTAGGGCCAGCCAGGCAATCTTATTCAGTTCCGCCCCACTTGCCCTACAACAAGAGTGTTAGAGTCCTTCAAAAACTTCGCAGAATCCTTGCAGCGTCAGTCAATTCGGGTTTAAGGTTGTATAAGGAAACAGGCCAAGACGCGGGAGCAACAAGAAACATATCATAGTTCAGGGTACAGAGCGTGCCATGTTCGTGATCATCTGGCCCTTTTCGAATGCCCAACGCCTCGACAGTTGTAACCCCAAGACACTAAAACATTTCAAAGCGGGAGAGTCGACATGAGAAGCCCCCCATCCCAGCCGACGGATGCATGATGCAGTGGCTTCTTCTTCATCTTCATCTTCTCAACTGGTGTGCTACCCTCGTTTAGCAAAAACGGGTTCCTCTGCGTATGTAGGCAGGAGCCTACGACTAACCATGCTTCGAGGAGGTAGATGAACGATTGGTTGTTACTGGTCTGTTTGAGGACATCGGCAGGAATCTTGCCAAAGCAGTACACGGGGGTTTTCCCGTCCGCTGGGAAGCAAATTGCCCAACCATTGTCCAGGGCGTGCGTGTCTTCGGGCTTCCAATCTTTAAGAAGATCACAAGTCATAGGCTTAGCGTTGCAGAGCCCAAACAGTTTGACTAGTGGCTTTGAATATAACTATAACAGCTACAGTTCGCACAAAGGGAGGGGCCCTCCGTAGACGGCACCAAAAGCATTCACAAGCAGACGCAAGCAGGCATTCTTAGAACTCCAGGTGCTTCAGACCCTCAAGCCTAAGCCCCAAAAACACAGCTAGAATTCTTGAAGCCCCCTTACAGGGCCCTCACCGTAAAACCCTTCAAGTTCCCTGAGCGTCCCCTACAAACCCCTAAAACCTGAACACCTTAAAACCCCTAAACCCTAAGCCCTAAGCCCTAAACCCTAAACCCCTTGAAAGACCCCTTGGCATCCTAGTGATCTTCTAGCCGGCGGCCTCTGTTTGTTTCCCAGATCTGGTCGCAGGCTGGCGGGGCTTCGGTAGCTGTACCTGGAGGTTTAAGGTTTGGGGGGTTTAGGGTTTAGGGGTTTAGGGGTTTAGGGGTTTAGGGGTTTAGGGGTTTAGGGTTTATAGGGTAGAGGGTTGCGGGTTTAGGGCTTCGAGGGCTTGAAGATTGAGTCTATGTTTGGTTGGGGGGGGGGGGGGGGGTAGGGTTTGGGGTTTAGGGATTAAGGGTTTAGGGTTTGGGGTTGAGGTTTAGGGTTCAGGGTTCAGGGCTAAGGGTTTAGGTGGGGGCTAAGTAGGACCAAGGGCTTGAGGAGCAGGAGGACTCTACTGTGGCGCCTTCCCTTCAGCATATCGTTCCACGGCACCCGAAAACCCTAACCCTCAACCCCAAACCCGAAACCCTAAACCCTAGCCCGATTCTCCAAGCCTGATCCTTCAAGGGAGCGCCTTCAGCGACAGAGAAGGCGGCAGTTTCAGAGTCTAGGCCGACGGGTGATGACCGTTCGGATTCTGATCCAGGCCCCTGGGAGCCTGGGAGGATCCAAAAAGTAGATCCCCTCTAGGGTTTGAGGTTTAGGGTTTAGGGTTTAGGGTTCAGGGTTTAGGGTAGGGTTCCTAAGAATGACCCATTAGGGTACTATTTAGGGGTTCTACTTTTTGGATCCTCCCAGGGGTCTGGGGAGTTGTGGCGGCAAGCTTCCAACGCGTGCGCCTAATCGAGCGCCAGGGCAGGTTTTCGGTTGAGCTCCATACCTGCAGGATGCTGATCCCCGCGTAATCCAGATGTTGAGAGAACATGCTCTCACAGGATGTTTCTGCGCATTCACGGCTTCCTGCTCGTAGCCGCTCAAAGGTGTGCCATTACTTGCTGTCAATCCGCAGGTGGCGTGGTGAAGTTCTGCGTACCATGCTCTGAGACTGTAGGGCCAAGAGTTTCGAAATCAAGTTTTTTGGGTGGTTCTTAGAATGACTCCTGTAAGGTTTAAGGGTTTAATATCAGGGAAGCGTTTCCGGCATACAACCTCGTCAAGGGTGCGAGACTTATTCCCTTGCGTCCCTTCAAAGGAAGCCAAAGGTGTTCGGGCTTAGGGTGGTTCGAGATGCATGGGAAGAAGCACCAGCAACCTTGCGAAAGGTGTGAAACTCATCCTGATCACCCTCCGTTTCGCCTCCTGACGCCAGGGCCAGGGGCACACCCGAAATTCTGCCTATAACCCCTAAACCCCTAAAATGCCTGAGCCCTTAGATGCCCTGAGTCCCACAAGCCCTAGACTAGGCCCAAGAGTATCCTAGGAATAAGCAAATGGGTGCCCTCTTTGCTCTAAAGGGGGCTTATTGGGGAACCCAAACCCTAAGAATGGGGAACAAGGGCTTACTCTGGGTCCTAGCTACCCTAAACCCGAAACCCGAAACCCGAAACCCTAAACCCTAAACCCTAAACCCTAAGATGCCCTGAGGCCCTAAGCCCTATATGAACTCGGAGCATAAGGGAAGGCCTCTTCATCGGCCCCAGAAGGAGGAGCGACTTCGCGTCGAAGGCATCGAAGCACGCGGCTTCGATTGTGAAGTTCGGCACCTTTGGTGGTGTAGGGTTTAGGGTTTAGGGTTTAGGGTTTAGGGTTTAGGGTTTAGGGTTTAGGGTTTAGGGTTTAGGGTTTAGGGTTTAGGGTTTAGGGTTTAGGGTTTAGGGTTTAGGGTTTAGGGTTTAGGGTTTAGGGTTTGGGTTTTAGGCTTCAAGGCTCCGGATAAGCCTCATTGAACCAAACAGGAATTATCAAGGCAGGCGTAGTGAATTTCAAACAAAACCTTATGCCCCAAACTCTGAACCCCCAATCCCAACCCCGAAAACGCGAAAACCCAAAAACCCTAACCCTAAACAGTCCTTGGAACCCATAGAGTTTGGGTAGGGGCTGTGGTGGGGTGGGGGGCGGAGGTCTCAGTCCCCATGCTTCATGGCCCTAAACCTGATGCCCTCAAAACTCCAAACCGCAGCATCAGAAGCTGAAACTCCCAAGCTTCAAAATCGCAAGCAAACACCACGAACATGTGGGTTGCGGGTGTCTTTCTAGCGCGGCTTCATGCAATACACAAGTGCTCAGGGTTGAGGACTTGGCGGGTCCCAGCAGCCCCAGTCAAGGAACAGTGAGGGTTTGGCCGGGTGGGGCTGGCAGCGCTTACGGGCCCCTATGTTGCAAACAACACCGGTGCAAAAACGGGATTTTCAGGTCTAGGGTCTAGGGCTTAGGATTCAAAATTGCCAAGCAAAACAGCATCCCTGGTATCTGTGCGCCTGGCCAGCATCAAGCAGGGGCCTTATCCACTCAGCTTGGATTTCACTAGCTAGTTGAGTGCTCATTGCTTACCACTTAGGGCGTAGCTAGGGGGCTCCCCCTACCATCAAAACCCCAAACCCCAAACCCCAAACCCAAATCCCCAAAGCCTGAGCTCGAAGATAGGCACCCCTGTAATAAAGCCCAAGTGTACACAATACACATGGATCCTTAGGATCAACATACCAACTTCATAACCCAAGCCCTTGCCCGAACCCTGCCTTGGGTAACCTTCATGCCCTTGAAACTGACGAAATGTATCGGAACTATGTTTTAAGGCATGAGGCTACTCTCGGTACACTCTGAACTGCGGGCCCTGAACACTGAACCCTACACCCAGGAAAAGCTGCCAAAACCTAGACCCCCGAACCCGCACATGTTCAGGGTTCAGGTCTGAGGGTTCTCAAAGTACTCTAAACCCTAAACCTTAAACCCTAAACCCTAAACCCCAAACCCCAAACCCCAAACCCCAAACCCCAAACCCCAAACCCCAACCCCTAAAGCCTAAAGCCTAAAGCCTAAAGCCTAAAGCCTAAACCCTAAACCATAAATCCTAAACCCTAAACCCTAAACCCTAAGCCCGAACCTCTGTTTACAGCTGTTTCGACCAAGTGGCGCCCGCAGGAGGCTGCGAACTTAAAGAGCCGATCCTGAGCAGCTTAGGGGTCGTTGCGTTTAGGGTTTAGGGTTTAGGGTTTAGGGTTTAGGGTTTAGGGTTTAGGGTTTAGGGTTTAGGGTTTAGGGTTTAGGGTTTAGGGTTTAGGGTTTAGGGTTTAGGGTTTTAGTGTTTAGGGTTTAGGGTTTAGGGTTTAGGGTTTAGGGTTTAGGGTTTAGGGTTTAGGGTTTAGGGTTTAGGGTTTAGGGTTTAGGGTTTAGGGTTTAGGGTTTAGGGTTTAGGGTTTAGGGTTTAGGGTTTAGGGTTTGGGGTTTGGGGTTTGGGGTTTAGGGTTTATTCTTACAGCTTCCAATGACCTTAGGGTTTAACCCCCTGACGCCCAAAATCCCAAATCCCTGGATCCAGGAAGGCCCTTCATCTCCAAGGGTGCGGGTGCTTTGGATGCCGCCATTCTTTCTGTTTAGGACTTACAGGGTTCATCAGCGCCCACTGCTTCATTCAGGGTTTCTAGGTGTTCAGAGAGTGCCTTATGCTGCCTACTTATAAGCCACCATGAACCTTCAGCAGGTGGGTTAAGGGCTGAGGCATCCCCCGATAAAGCTCGAAGGCTTCTCTAGCTTTACTTGATCTTCAAGCGGGCTTCAGAGGTTAGTCGGAGCTTTAGGCACCCAAGACTCAAAGGACTACATAGGTTACCAGGGTATCTCCACGCGTGTCTTTATCATGTTATTACCTTCTTGTCTTACTATAATATTCTAATTCCATGTTACAACGTTGTTGTAATGGCAGCTGAAGGCAGAGGGCAAGCTTTTGGGGATTAATTTCTAGCATGTGGGTTCTCGGGGCGTTTTGGGGATTCCGGCCTTTTCAATGCCGCCACGAAGCTGGGACTCTAAACCTGCCCTTCCCTAAACCCTAAACCCTAAACCCTTCTTGAAGCCACCCGAAACCTAAACCCTAAAACCCTGGCGTCAGAGGCTGCATGACGACGCCACTCACACAGAAATCTGTGTAGAAGCTGCCAGAAAGAACATGAAGTTTCCTGGGCTGGATAGGGTTTTGGGTTTAAGGTTTAGGGTTTAGGGTTTCGGGCTTAGGGTTTAGGATTGGCAGCTGCGTGTTCTTGCATGCAGAGCTTGGGTTCGCAAAAAGGAGTGTTCCACATTGACATTACATGGCAGCTTGATCGTCTTTTTAGAGTGAGGTGCCAGCCACCTGTAACCCTATAACCCTACCATCTGATCTACAGATTCTTTGGTCTTCTTCGGCTGGACATTGAATTCAGTGATTTCCCAATGTGGTCTCGAAGCCCTTATCCTCTACAGAATTTGCAGAACTACCAACTCTGTTGGCGACAAGGCTGCAGCCACTTCACGTGGCGGTGATCGCAGAAGACATTTTCGTCCTCTTCGATGTTGCTGTGCTCACTGGAGTCGAGGCAGAGGTGCCACTTTTGGCCATCTTGAGAGCAGAACACCTTGATTTCAAATTACTTACTAGGGATTTAGGGAGCTGGGTGCCCTGAAAGGGAGGGTAGATAAGGGGATGCGGAGATACCGAGTTCCCTGACTCCACCTTTAAGAACAGAAAGCAGGCCTTGAAGTGCACTTCGTCCGTCAGAATCTTGCGGTTGAAGGAGAATCCGGTGAGGTAGAGTGATACAAACGGCATCATCCAAACGATCCAGCACTCCTCTATCAAGATAGAGTACGTGTGGAAGTTGTCATTGTGGGCCAAAGCCTTCGGGACCACGATATGAAGCGGTTTGGGTGCTCACGGATGTTTACAGCAAGTGCATGCACAGATGACGAAGAGAGCACCCACTCCAAGATCCTTGTGATCCTTGTACTCGGACGTAAGACCACCTAAACCGTAAACCCTAAACCCTAAGCCCAAAACCCAAAAACCCAAAAGCCCAAAAACCCAAAAACCCAAAAGCCCAAAAGCCCAAAAGCCCAAAAACCCAAAAACCCAAAAGCCCAAAAGCCCAAAAGCCCAAAAGCCCAAAAGCCCAAAAGCCCAAAAACCAAAAAAACCCAAAAACCCAAAAACCCTAAAACCCTAAAATCCCAAAACCCTAAAACCCTAAAACCCTAAACCCTAAAACCCTCAAACCCTCAAGCCCTAAAACCCTAAACCTTAAAAACCTAAAAACCTAAAACCCTAAAACCCTCAAACCCTCAAACCCTAAAACCCTAGTCCGGTGCCTCCAGAAAGCCAGGTTCTCCCAGAGCATGACTCCAATCCTTGTCCCGAGGCCCCAGGAGCACGGCGACTTGCCGGCCTTCGCCCCAATACCTTTCCTTTAGGGTTTAGGGTTTAGGGGTTTGGGGTTTAGGGTTTAGGGTTCAGGGTTTAGGGTGTGGTGTTTGGGGTTTGGTGTTTGGGGTTTAGGGTTTAGGGTGTGGGGTTTAGGGTGTGGTGTTTGGGGTTTGGTGTTTGGGGTTTAGGGTTTAGGGTGTGGGGTTTAGGGTTTAGGGTTTTAGGGTGTGGGGTTTGGGGGGGGGGGGGGAGGGGGGGGGGGTTAGGGTTTGTGGGTTTCCGGGCGTCTTGGGTTGGGGCTTGGCTGGTCGAAGGGATTCACCTCAATCTCGCCTGGGAACCTTAGGCCTGTGCCCAGACCCCGGGAGGACCAAAACAGTAGATCCCTTCAAGGGTTGCTAAGTATGAACCCAATAGTAGGATGTGGTACTATTTGGGAGTTCTACTCTATGGATCCACCCAAGGGGTCTGGGCTGCATGCTCAAAGAACAGGGTTTACGGGACGAGGCCTACTCAGAGTAGTTTGTCGCTATAGCACTTCCCTGCGCACCCTACACCCTAAACCCAGCTCCCAAACGGAACGAACGCAAAAAGCAATCGCTGGCACCTTGAGCTCGAAGAGAGCGTCGCCAGTGGCCTCCCTGCGGTGTGATCTCGCACCAGCGGCCGCATAGGCTTCAAAAAGTCGCTGGACCTCTTCGCAGGTTGGGGGGGTCCGGGGTTTAGGGCTTAGGGATCTTATCCCTGGAAAAACGGGTTGCGGGGGATGATGACGGGGATGATCACACCCAAGCGCCCATCCTCTTTGTCCTCCTCTGTAGAGGCAGCGTCCCACCCAGTGACCAACTCCTGCTCGCACGGGCATGCTGCGCTTGGCTCGCGATCGGTAGAAAGCGCGGGAATGGTACTCATGGCTTGGGATGTTCCCCCTTATACGAACAGCCCTGAATGGGGATTGTAACAGGGGGTACTATAATCTCTGTTAAGGACTGCTAGTAGAAGGGGGAACATCCCAACTCATGCCGATGATCATGGGGCCCTGTTCCTTCATTCCCTACAAGGCATAGAGAGTGCAGTCGCATCGGCCGCCATGGGTGTAGGGAGCCTCCTGCTATACCCATCTATGGCAGCTGACACTTCCACTACAAGCACAAGTCTATGAAGTCGACGACATCTGACTGCACATCTACCCCAAACCCCAAACCCCAAACCCTAAACCCTAAACCCTCAACCGTAAACCCTAAAACCCCCCACCCCCATCCCACCCAGAAAAAATCAGAGGTGCCTGTCCTGAAGGTGATCGCCACCGATGCAGAGGGCGTCACTGGCCACGATCTCCTCCACCTTGGGGACAACATGAGGGGCTCACATACGGTTTTGTCGTTCTTCAAAAATTTAGATTGTTGTTCTAGTGCGCACATATATATATATATATGGAGAAAACATATACATTACATCTAGATATATACATATGAATGAAATAAATAAACTGGAAAAATAAACACATGTGTATATATATATATATATATTATGTATTATCTTGTGGGCCCTCAGCAAGGGATGAGGGAATTCAGGAATTAGCTTGCCCTTGGCATCCCGAGCGCCAGTGCAGCAAAATCTCATAAACAAAGTGGCTGCTCGAGACTTTGTTGCAACAAAAACCCTATGTCTGGCGAGGACGAGCTTGACTGAACCTTAAACCCTAAACCCTGAGCCCCTAAACCCTAAACAAGTGCTCAGTGAATGCTTTTCTTACATGTGCCTTGCCTATCTCTAAAGGAGGGCGCATCCGAAAGGGCTGGATGCGCACAAACGGCACAAGCTTTGGGGCTTGGGCTTACGGTTCCGGGTGTAGGGTTGAGTTGAAGGAGACAAGTAACCCTAAACCCTAAACCCTAAACCCTAAATTAAATCTAAACCCTAAACCCTAAACCCTAAACCCCCTGAATAAACCCTAGACCCTGAACCCTGAACCCTCCGAACATCGCCCACACTCGGCCAACCGCCGAAACATGGCACGTTGAAGATAAGAACTGACAAAACAAAACCGTCAAACCCGACCTCTGAAAGACCTAGGTTGCCCAGTCACCTAGGATTCAAAAGGGTGCCCTTTCTTGCTTAAAGAGGTTTATGAGGGAACCTACCCCCCCCCCCCCCCCCCAAAACAAAAAAAAACAAAACAACAAAAAATCAACAAAAAAAGCGACAAGGAATAAGGGCACTACTGGGCATCCTAGAGACCTCGATTCTAGTTGCAACACCGTATCGAGCCGCAACTTTGTTGTTGAGCTTTCTTATTGCACTGGAAAGAGGGAGCCCATGGGCAAACACATTCCCAATTCCCTGCTGAGGGCACGATGAGAAAGGAAGTTATATGTTGGACATATGATATCGGATATAGGTTTATGATGAACCATTTTCTTAGGTTGATTCATGTAGAGGCCTTACATTGTCAGGGGTTCGAGCTAGCGTGAGAAATACATAGCAATATGATCCCAATTTCGTACCCAGGGCACCAGCTTGGGACTCAGGCAGGGGCGCTGTTTCAGGCTGTCGATGGGCTCGGTCAAGATGAGCGTGAGGGAATGATTGCGCAAGTCCACATTGTGAAATCTGTCAGCCAAGTCGAAGATCACGCAAGCCGTCCAAGGCATAAGCTCATCTAGCACCGTGCTGGTGCAAAGGCGGTGTAGCCTGCCAACGGCATACTTGTCTGCCAGAACGCCCAGCTCGAGGACAGTCGCCAGGCTTCCATCTACGCTCCCAAAATGCAAGAACAGCAAGAAGGCTTCCACTGCGGCGGAGGAAAAGTCCGTGATGGTAACTTGAGCTTCAGTACCTTCCAAGAAGTGCCCCTGCTTCACCATTTGCTCAAAGACTGGCGAAGCAGTCCCGAGCACAGCGGACAAGACTCTAAACTCCTTGCGGGCAAGGCCTGCTTCAGCGTTCCCTTCCGACATCTCTCCGCCAGGTTCTTCCACGACCACTTTAAAGTCCCCCTCGCCCCAGCACCGGCCCAACACATCACGTGTAAACTCGGCGAAGCTATCGTCCTCAACTTTGACAGCCGGGCCCATCTGCTCTTATCCTCTCCCATCCATGAACACAGCAAGCAGATTCTGGAGTGAGCTACTACCTGGAGGCTTTTACCCGATCCCGTTTACCTTACCTTAGCGTGGTGAGACTATGAAAAGCAGAAGTTGGGTACCACCCCTAAACCCTAAACCCTAAACCCTAAACCGATATAAGCCTCCAGGTACTCAAGGCCTAGCTTCGAATCATCAGCCTGACGCAGCGATGACCCTAGACATATGAAGTCCTTATATAGTCCCTCTATACCTAAGTAGCCCCTCAATAAGCCCCTAAGAACTCCTAAGGTCCCTTACAAGGGTCCCGTCTATAGCCCCTTGAGATAGCATGTTGGGAAAGGCTCAAGGAATTATCATGTCTTGGATTCGGCTTCCAGACGCCAGAGAATTACATATTCTTAATTAACCGGCCTAGTCACTCAAATCTGCAACAAAATTTCGAACTCGAAGCCCGCAACCTTTCTCAAAACCAGAAAAGTCCCTGCAGCGTGCTGCAGCACATTCCGAATCTTCTGTCGTGCATCGACCCTCGGTGATCGCAAGTACCCGCAAGACGTACCTGTGACTCCCAAACCTTGCAGAACAGTAGGTGATAGCTCCCGAGGCGTCGGGAATAACCCCCGACATCGTAGTTCAATGGAGACCCAAATCCTGCAGAACAGTAGGTGATAAATAACTCCCGAAATGTCGGGCATCACCCCTGAAGTGGTTCAATGGAGCCCCAAACCCTGCAGAACAGTGGAACTCCCTAAATGTAGGGCAGAACCCCCGAAATCGTAGTAAAATGTATTTGAATATGTACTAGAATAAAAACTGTATATATATATATATGTGCATATACATATATACATATGTACATATATACATATGTACATATGTACATATATACATATATACATATATACATATATACATATATACATATATACATATTGAAAGGAGCCCCAGGTAGCACTGCTCAGAACCTCCGACCGCAGACGTCTCAGTCACAAGCGACCATCCTGTCCCCGAGACTCTTAGAAGAATCCCCTTGCATTCGAGGCTACGGCTTCGTTATCGACCCTCTAAAACCTAAGCCCTAAACTCTAAACCCTAAACCCTAAACCCTACACCCTAAACCCTAAAACCCTGAACCCTGAACCCTGAATAGGAAAAAATGAGGGGGGTTCCGAGGCAAGGAGCCACGTGGTCTCCCGAATATGGGGGGTTCGTGACCAGAACGTCGAAGGCTGGCACCTCCTGGTCCTGCTTAGGGTTTAGAGTTTAGGGTTTAGGGTTTAGGGTTTAGGGCTACGAACTGCTTAAGGACCCCCAAATAAATGTGAATACAGTATGAATCTTCTTCCTTATAAGGGTACTATAAGGATTATTATCTTTGCTTTTTTTTTTTTTTTTGGGGGGGGGGGGGGGGGGGGGGGGGTGGGGGCTTCCTAAGCAGATGGTAGAAGAGGGGCTGCAGGGCTTGAGGGTTTAGGGTCTAGAGGGATCCAGGATTTTTAGGGATTTAGGGTTAGGGTCTATAGGGATTTCGGGATTCAAGGACCTAGGGTAGGGTTTAGAGTTTAGGGTTTTGGGGGTTAGGGCTTTAAGGACTTTGAGGACTTAAGGCTTAGGGTTTAGGGGCTTCTATAGTTGCTATTGTTGATAAGGCTGAAAGGGCTTCTTGGCTGTAAACAGGGTTTTGGGGCATGAAGGGGTTACAGGCATGTGAGGCCAACAGGGTTCATAATACGGCCTCGCCCTCCTCCAGACAAATCGGAGGGGCTACGTCACGATCAACGGCCTCTTTACCTGTGTAAAATCCAGGAGAGAACGAAGGAAGCATCAGATAACCGCAAGAAAAGGCAGTAAGTTTCCTAGCGTTTGGATGGCGATATGAGTGCCATTCGTTCAGTGCGTGGAATTCATTCACGAGTGTTCACTCTTTGCTTTCTTTCTACTTTCTTTCGATCACTTGTTCGTTTCACTCACGCGTTTACAAAATTAATGACATGAGGATTTCTCACTTTGCAGCCCCACACCAGTATTAATACTTCGGGAAAGGACGCATTCATGTGAGATCTGATGGTTAAATCTCGTTTTAATATGGGCTCTCCTCATGCTGCAACCTTCTTCACAGCCCAAGAAACTGTTCATGAAGGTACGAAATGTGTGACAGGAAGCCCCCCCCCCCCCCATTGTAAGGATGACTTCGCGCTTCTCGTAACTCCCGGGCTGTTACATTCGTTCGCTGGTCTTTGTTCTCGCTTCCTTATTTTTTTCATGTATCTCGGGATGTTCCCCTTATACTTAATTACAGTCCTTGATCGGAAGTATAAAAGAGGGTACTACAATCCCTATTAAGGTCCTTTCGTCTCAGGGAATACATCCAAAATTGTTAGTGTATCCCGTCAGCACAGTGAGAAGAAGTAAGTTAGCTCACGGTCAAGCATAATAATGGCGTGCTTGCGAATGGAATAGTCTTGTTGCGCACGCACGAATACTAATACGACTAGAATAGGAATATTAATCAAGTGTACGCAATAAACGCATTTTATATCATATTCATGCTTGCTTTCACTCATCATATTAGGGCGTTTATCAACGAGCATACGCGTGTTCTTCCAAAAGCCGGATCCTTCACTCATGATTCTACTACTAACTCCTTCACTCCTGGTAAGCCTTTACAGCCCAGTAACCATATTGTAAAAAATAGGGCACCCGTTTGTGCATTGGTTACTTGATAAATGAACCCATGACCAACAAAAATGGTAAAGGGTACCACTGGGCTACCAAGTTAATGGGCTGTGAGGTATGGCAGACTATGCTGGCCCATCTTCGTGGAGCATTTCCGCACGAGAGCGTGAGTGTAGCTGGTCCTAGCTCCCTGGCAGCTTTGGAAGTGTCTGGAACCTACATACAATGAAACCCCTCAGCCCGAGTGAGGACGAGTCTGTTCAGTCTCTCTTTGCAGCCACGAAGGAAACATTTGTCGTCCCAAGCTCCACACGTCACAACCCTGCCAAATCCGGCTCATCCTGAAAACTCAAACCCTAAACTGGCCCTAAACCTACTTGTCAAAAAACCACACACAACAAAACAACGCACCCCCGAAACCATCAACAACTTGACCTTGCTTGCACCCTTTTTGAAACACTCTTGTGCACCTCGAACCCTTTCTGATGCCTTTGTAAACCCTTGTAAGCACAATAATCACCTTTTCAACCACTCTAACACCTAGACCCCCTACCTAGAGAGACCTTATACCTTCACAAAGGGAGGCAATGCCCAAGAATGATGATACAACTTCCTATTTTCGGGAATAAGGGTTTAGGGTTTAGGGTTTAGGGTTTAGGGTACTTTAGGCAAACTCCAAAAGGCCGTAGGCCTTCCAGGCGGCGTAGCAGTCGACGGGGCGGTTGTAAACACTGAGAAATCCTGCAGCCGAGCCCTCGACCCCAAACCCTACTTAGGGAGGGTTTAGGGTTTAGGGTTTAGGGTTTAGGGTTTAGTTTAGGGTTTAGGGTTTAGGGTTTAGGGTTTAGGGTTTAGGGTTTAGGGTTTAGGGTTTAGGGTTTAGGGTTTAGGGTTTAGGGTTTAGGGTTTAGGGTTTAGGGTTTAGGGTTTAGGGTTTAGGGTTTAGGGTTTAGTGTTTATGGTTTAGGGTTTAGGGTTTAGGGTTTAGGGTTTAGGGTTTAGGGTTTAGGGTTTAGGGTTTAGGGTTTAGGGTTTAGGGTTTAGGGTTTAGGGTTTAGGGTTTAGGGTTTAGGGTTTAGGGTTTGGGCCGCTGCTTTGCTAAGGGCCCTTTTGGGGTCCTTACTCTGAGGGTCCACTTGTTAGTGGGGAATGAGGGAGTAAGGTGATTTCCCTATATATTCCTTAATGGGTATATAGATATAGGGGGATACAGAGTACCTCATTGCCTCACTCCCTACTAGCCAATCGTAAGTTAAGTGCCCACCATGTGGCAGGGTCCGCCTTTTGATGTCAACTTGTGTGGTGTTTCCTTTAATGTGTCTAGTGGTCAGATTCAGGATTGGTTGTTTAGGACTGCTTAGGGTTGAAGGTTTGGGGAATACGCGTAACCTGAACCTTGAACCGTACCCTGGTGGGCTGCAAGATGCTTGGGGCTTGCAGGGTCGTGGATGCTGTACCGTTACATGCCCTAAACCCTTGTAAACCCTAAACCCTAAACCCTAAATCCTAAATCCTAATTCCCAGAAATCATGAGCAGAAACCTGGAACCTCCGGCAAGCACTGCTCAAGCCCGAAGCACCGGGGCTGCTTGCGAGTCAGCCGGGCAGCTGCGTGATGTATCATTGCTTTGGGAACGGAGAACTACTACTTGCTTAAGAACCCCAAAAGAATTAAAATGATATTAATTATTGCCTATATTGCCTTAATAAGGAATATTTTCCGGGGTTCTTAAGCATTTGGTAGATAACTATGGGTTCTGAAGAGATCCGTGCCGGGACCTGGCAAAGTCATCTAACTTCTCGCACAGGCTCATCGCACTACAAAGTGAAAAACAAAAAACGTTCTTTCGCACACATTCACTACCGCAGCCATGGGCCACTTGTTCTTTGACCTTATAAGCTACAGGGATCTCGGCATTATCGGATGGATTCTAGGCGCTTTTGTGCCACTGCAGCCTCATCTTACAAGCCAAAGAACCTCCTAAGCCCCCAGACAGCTCCGAGTCATCTTTTCCAAGTCTGCAACTGCGAGCGCGCGAGATGCTTTAAATCACCTTGGCGAAGATCCATCTGCACGCGGCCCCGATTTGACTTCTGTACCTGATCAGGAGGTACTTTGCAGAGCTGGTAGAAGAGTCCTTGTCACTCTAGGAACCGGAGAAGTGTCAATGCCCTCGGCGAAACCAATACTTTGGGTGGCTGAACTTCTGAACCCTGCAATTTCTTAAGCTCAGGTCTAGCTGAGCCTTCGGGTAGGTACTTTAGGTGTACTTAAACTCACCATCTTTGGTATCTTATTTGTTGGACTAAGCTTTTCCAACCACAAAGCTAGGTTTCCTAAATCCTAAACCAAGAATTTCAGGCAGAGGCACCGCAGCAGACAGGCCCCACTGCTTCAGCAAGTCAAGTACAAAGGCCTGGAGGTCAGGTTTAGGTTTAGGTTTTTAGGTTTAGGGTTCAGGGTTCAGGGTTTAGGGTTTAGGGTTTCGGGTTTAGGGTTCCTGTTCAGGGCTTGGTGTCCAGTGTTTATAAGCCGAAAAGGCTCGAGCAGCATATCAAGGGCTTCCCCAAAGCCAAACCCTAAGCCCTAAGCCCTAAACCCCTAAACCCCTAAACCCCTAAACCCCTAAACCCCTAAACCCCTAAACCCCTAAACCCCTAAACCCCTAAACCCCTAAACCCTAAACCCTAAACCCTAAACCCTAAACCCAAGTTGAAGGGTTTAAGGGAAGCCCCGCACCTGTAGGTTGGTGGCCGACCACGAGGGCCGGGTCTTGCCCCAGCCGGTGATGATGATGCCTCAAGGCTACAAGTAGGGTTCAGGGTTCAGGGTTTAGGGTTTAGGGTTTAGGGTTTAGGGTTCAGGGTTTAGGGTTTAGGGTTCAGGGTGAAGGTTCGAAGGTACTTATAAGTAGGGTTTCGAGTGCCCTGAATAAGGTGATAACCATCGGATCCCTACTTATAACCCTGCTTATAGGATCCCTACGCTTCACCCTACTTCTACGCTCCCATGAACCTCCAAGCAAAGAACCCTCGCCATTGCTCTTGTCCGCATCATTGTCGCTCTCATGTCGCCATGGTTCTCACTATCACTATCGATCTGATGTTCTATTGCCACTATCGTTCTGCTATTCACATGTAATAACATGTGTTGTTGAGCTCCAGCATACATACGTGCTCTTGCTTTGAGAAGTTGCGGGCCCAAAGACGACGCACCGCGAACCGTGAGGGGCTTGGGAAGCATTTCGAGCCTGACGGCGGAAACCACAACCCGAATCCCTAGTAAAACCCTAAACCTTGGGATGTTCCCCCTTATACCAATAGTCCTTAATCTGGTTTATGATCGAACCATATATCTATACATATGTAATATATATATATATATATAAACAAACAAAACATGCATAAAATCGCACATAACGCACATCCCCCCCCCCCCCCCCCCCTCCCCCCCCCCCCTCCCCCCCCCCCCTCCCCCCGCCCCCCCCCTCCCCCCGCCCCCGCCCCCCCCCCCCCCCCCCCCGACCCCCCCACCCCCCCCCCGCCCCCCCGCCCGCCCCCCCCGCCCCCATCCCCCCCCCCCCCCGCGGCCCAACAAAAAAGGACGGCAACAACCAAAACCCAAAACCCAAAACACAAAAAAAACCCAAACCCAAAAAAACCAAAACCCGAAACCCAAAAAAAACAAAAACCCTAAACGACAAGCAGTCAAGATGCAGGTCTGCGTCTCCGTGGGACTCAGGATGGGCTCCAAGACCTCCATGAACCACCAAGCCACCTTGTTTGGGGTTTAGGGTTTAGGGGTTTAGGGTTTAGGGTTTGGGGTTTAGGGTTTAGGGTTTAGGGTTTAGGTTTAGGGTTTATAGGGTTTAGGGTTTGGGCTTTAACGTTTGGGGTTTAGGGTTTGGGCTTTAGCGCTTGGGGTTTAGGGTTTGGGGTTTGGGGTTTAGGGTTTGGGGTTTAGGGTTTGGGGTTTGGGGTTTAGAGTTTGGGGTTTGGGGTTTAGGATTTAGGGTTTGGGGTTTGGGGTTTAGGGTTTGGGGTGGGGGCCATGAACCACCAAGCCTTCTTCTCAAGGCACTGGGGGTGCTTAGGCACTGGGAAGTTCATGTAAAAATGTATACATACTCAATCCAGCGAAACAAATCACACAGCAACCCCCGCCCCCCCGCACCCCCCCAGACCTACATGTTTGTATGGTTTGTGGCTGGTGGTTGGTGGCGAAGAAACTTCCAGAAGCTCTGGCTCTGACATACCAGTGCGGGGAGTGAAGGACAGCTCCTAGGACACTTGTGAATGCCAAAAATTTGCCCTAAACCCTAAACCCTAAGCCCTAAACCCTAAACCCTAAACCCTAAACCCTTGATAGGGGCACCTCAGACACTGAGGCCTCAGTGGAGCTACGGAATTCATATCGGCCAAGACAAGTCGCGCCACATGCGAAAAATCCGTTGAACACTACGACTGGCTTTAAAATGATATCGGAAGTCAAAATTATCTTGCGTCAAAAATGAGCCATCATGAAAGAAACGATAGGGCTCTGTAAGGGAATGCTTTTCAATAAATGTAGGACATCTACCCTAAACCCTAGCCCTAAACCCTAAACCCCAAACCCGAGGCCCTAATCCCTAAAATAAGGCCTTCTTGAGGGACCTGTCGAAGCAACGAGCCCGAGTTTCCACAATTCCTAGTTGCTGAGTACCCTGGGCCAAAAAAGGTTAACCTTTCAATATGGAAGAATTTTATGGTTAGAGTTTAGGGTTTAGGGTTTGGGTTTAGGGTTTAAGGTTGAGGGTTTAGGGTCGAGGGTTAAGGGTTTAGGATTTGGGATATATACCCCACAAGGTTAGTTTTCGCAACTGTTCCGCAACTTTGTCCATGCTGGCTTTTCCCACTTGCTTCTCAATCTATTTCCGCGCATAACGGTGGAAAAGGTTGCGGAAAGAACGTGTGGCAATGGTTGCGAAACACAAGGAACAAGGTGCAGAAAAGTTGTGGCAAACATGTGGGAAAGGGTGTGGGACAACGTGTGGACAAGTTGCGAGAGCATGGACTGGATGATTTGAAAAGTTGCGGAAAAACTGGTGCGATGTGTGGCAAGTGGAAAACTTCCATGTGTGAAAAATGCTCTAGGAGAGACTAGATACAGAAGCCCCGTAAAGAATCGATGTTCCGTTTCCGGCATGTATAAAAAAGTGCATGAATATACGTCTACATCGTAAAGTGACTTACATTGTTTGGTTCTATCCAATTACAGTCTATTCTTTTACATGTACACATGTCAATACAACATGTGGAGTCTGGGCGGATTGCTCCCTTGGACACAGGCAGTTCCCCCAATAGGCAGTACTCATAACTAAAGTCCCCCACCTCCCCTCCCAAAAGCTACAGTGAAGTACAGGCCGCGTACAGGCCGCTGTCAGAATGAGGGGCATCAGAGGACTGGCTTTAGAGGACTCACAAATTTGGATGGTTTTGAAATGTTGCATATACTCTAGATTTATACGTAAAATGCGGATGAGGATCAGGCTCTTGGCTTCAAGGGTGAGAGGGATTGACGAGTGGACTTTGCCTCGAAACTCGTCCTTGTGCACGAACCCTAAACCCTAAACCCTGAAACCCTAAACCCCCCTCATGAGGGCGCATCATGTAGCTGGGCCTGCCACTAGCAAAAACAAACGGAAAGTAAAGCTTGCCTCTGTGAAGTCCTAGGTTAAACTGCAGTGTGTTCCCTCTTGGTGTTGGCCGTCTCTTCCAACGCGGGCACACCTCTGTGCAGGTACCCAAGTAGGTTTCAAACTGATGCCTGAAATATTTATAGTGAAGGCCAGGAAGTAATCAAACACACACGAGAGCACACAGACATCTGACAAAGATCCGCTAAACCCTTAACCCTAAACCATTATCCCTAAACCCTAAACCCTAAACCCTAAACCCTAAACCCTAAACCCTAAACCCTAAACCCTAAACCTAAACCTAAACCCTAAACCCTAAACCCTAAATCACAGTCAAGCTGCCGCATGCACCGTCGGCCCATAGGAAAGTTCATGCAAGTCCTCAGGTCATTCGGACTGACCCGAAGCGCCAAACAAGACACCAAAGCCCAAAACCCCCAACCCCCAAACCCCAAACCCTAAACCCTAAACCCCTCAACAACCTAAGTAATTACCCTACGTACCCTGCATACCCGCAAAAGCCCGACGTAATGAAGCGTGCCTCGTTCCCTTGGTACCAGTCTTCTTCTCTTCGCTAAGGAGTTAGGGTTTAGGGTTTAGGGTTTAGGGTTTAGGGTTTAGGGTTTAGGGTTTAGGGTTTAGGGTTTAGGGTTTAGGGTTTTGGGTTTAGGGTTTAGGGTCCAGGGTTGGCTTGCGACGTGCTCGGCTGACTTTATTTTCTCTGCGAGTCGGGACGTTTTCAAGATCCGTTTCATCCTGCCAGTCTGCTGCCCTTCAGCCCCCCAACCCTAAGCCCTAAGCCCTAAGCCCTAAGCCCTAAACCCTAAACCCCAAGCCCTAAACCCTAAGCCCCCGAGAAGATGTCGAAGACGAGGCTCCAAGGTGAAGGGGCTGTCGATGCAAAGGCAGGAATACAGTCCAGCCTCCCGTGCTCTTAGAAACATGGCCCTCCCCATGGGCCTGTCCTGAAGAGCATCCAGCCTGAGTTGGTGTAGGGTTTAGGGTTTAGGGTTTAGGGTCTAGGGCTTAGGGTTTAGGATTTAGGGTTTAGGGGTTCATACGCGTACTTAGAATCAGGGTTGTAACTAACCCAAATCAGGTCATATCCAGAGTTACCCTACTTAGAACCCTACTTAGAAGTAGCCATGAAACTCCAAGTGGAAAGGCTTAGGGCTCTCCTGGGTTCGGTGTCTAAAGCTTTTGTTGAAGGTTTGGGGCTTATGAGGTGTTGGGGTTTGGGCCGGATCGCAGTGTGAGGTGTAGGGGTTTTCGGGACGAGGGATTTCGGGCTTCGGGGTGCACGTGCTCTTGGAACTGAAATTGCGGGCTCCAGAACTTAGACCTTTAGGGTTTGGCACTTCTCGTTGCAAAGCCTACACCCTAAACCCTAAACCCTAAACCCTGAACCCCTAAGCGGAGTGAAAGGTCAGGGAGATGCAGTTGAATTGTCTCAGGACACACCAACCCTACGCAGGGCTTAAGGTTTCAGATCTGTGCTCTCCAACCGGCTTCCTGAAGCCTAAGCCCTAAGCCCTAAGCCCTAAACCCTAAACCCTAAACCCTAAACCCTAAACCCTAAACCCTAAACCCTGGGAATTTTGGTAGCTTCAGAAGCGTCAGGGAACCCGAGTCACCGGCACTGCCTGTCCTCTAACTGAAGGCCTGCTACCCTAAACCCTAAACCCTAAACACTAAACCCTAAACCCTAAATCCTAAACCCTGAACCCTGAACCCTAAACCCTGGGCACTCCCCACCCTCGGAGTTCAGCCCAGTAGCAAGGCGTTGAAGCTCACCACGCTCGGGGTGGTGTGCGCTTCGGGCATAGAATTAAAAAGGCGCAGGGCCAAGAGCCACTGTTGGCCCTTCCCGCATGCACTGAGGGCTGTGTTGAAGCCTCTCATGGCAGAGCAACTTCGGGTTTAGGGTTTCGGAGGCAGGGTTTAGGGTTTAGGGCCGTTTGGGGTTTAGGAGGTAGGGTCAACTTGCAGCGTTCTGTGCATTTGGAGATTCACAAGATTGGATAACAAAGGACCCTGCGCCTCTAACTCCCAAACTGCCTTAGCCGCCTTAAAGCGCCAGCTGATCTCGGACAGCCGGCACACTTGCTTAAGTTTGGCAGCGCAAGGACTCTCCATCCCCCACCACAAATGACCAGCAACCAGCCTAGCCCTAGACAAAGATACATATACAGTACTGGGAGGGGGTTGTTCTTTGCCAAGGTCTCTCGCTTAGATGAAAGGCATCTGGCATTCAGGCATCTGGCATTCAGGCAGCAAGATATTTTAGTCAAGGTACCCTCTTCGGAGGGTTGGTTACTTCACAAGGGAACTTAGGGCCAAAAGCAACGCAAAAGCGTACCACTGGGCTACCAAGTTACCCTAAACCCTAAACCCTAATTGCAAGTCCTAGAAGCTCGAGGTACTTGGGCTGATGTGAGCCCTTGGCATCACACCGAAGAGGTACAAAGCCAGCTGCCAGCGACCAGCCCGTTCACACGCGCTGATGGTGGCATTGTAGCCTCGGTACACCCAACATCCCTAAACCCCAAAATCCTGAAACCCTTAAACCTTAACCCTAAACCCTAGCCCTAAACCCTAAACCCTAAACCCAGAACCATGTGGGCCTCGTATTGAGTTCAGGTGTCCTTCGGCTTCGAAGTCGAACCTTGAACCCAGCAAGAACCCGTGTTTCCCTGCATACCCTACAAGCCACAACCCCATGACATCCAGAAGCTCCAGCAGCACCCTAAACTCTAGTCCTAAACCCTAAACCCTAAACAGGCCCAAAACCCTGAACCCTAAACCCTAAACCCTGAACCCCCTACAAAAAAGAAATAAGGGCCTACTCCGGGTCCTGGGAGGCGAGAGACTGATGACGTTGGGGCTCAGACCCACGGCTGGCATTTCGCTGAAGAGGTGCAACGCCAGCTGCCATTGTCCCGCTTTCCTTACTGTTGCGGTTTAGGGTTTAGGGTTTAGGGTTTAGGGTTTAGGGTTTAGGGTTTAGGGTTTAGGGTTTAGGGTTTAGGGCTTAGGGCTTAGGGTTTGGGGTTTGGGGTTTGGGGTTTAGGGGTTTAGGGGTTTAGGGGTTTAGGGGTTTAGGGGTTTAGGGGTTTAGGGGTTTAGGGGTTTAGGGGTTTAGGGGTTTAGGGGTTTGTAGGGCTGGAGGCTTAGGGTCCCCCCAGTAACCGAGGAAGAAACAGGCCACACTTTCTGGCTGAGGCTTCATGCGGCATACCCGGGAATCCGAACACAAAAACAAGGGGTTTAGGGTTTGATCCCAAGCCCCCCCCCCCCGCCTTAAACAAACAATAATAACTAAACAAAAAAAATGAGGGTTTGGGGTTTTGAGTTTAGGGACGCTAGCCCAAGTATAGACGGAAATGAGGGCACTACTGGACAATCTCAGCTTCTGACAGGCGCTGATGATGGCGCTGTAGCTGATAACCGTGGGCTCCAGACGCTGCTGCTGCAAAGACTGAAAGACAGACACTGCGACTCGCCAGTGTCCCGCTTTCTCGCAGGCTCCGATGCCCGCGGTGTAGCTGATGACATCCGGGGAAACTTGTGAGCTCGCCATCTCGCGAAGCAAGTGGAGGGCCAAAAGCCATTGTCCGGCTTTCTCACACGAGCTAATGGCTGCATTGTAGGCAATCAAGTTTGGAGCAACTTTCAAAGTCGTCATGCTGCTGAACAGCGCCAACGCAGGCTGCCACTGTGCGTTCATCCCACAAGCACTGATGGCTGCGTTGCAGCTGGTGGCATCGGTCGGAAGCTTAGCATCCTGCATCTCACTAAACAGTTGCAAGGCCAGTTGCCACTGCCCTCCCTTATCGCAGGCACAGATGACGGCGCTGAATATGATCCGGTCTGCGCGAACGCTGGAGTTGGGCATTGAGGCGAACAACTGCAGAGCCATCTGCCACTGACCTGCCATGTCCGATGCACGTATTGCCGCACTGAAGCTGATGACGTTGGGCAGGACTTTCGTCTGTGCCATGGCTTCGAAATGGGACAAAGCCAGCTGCCACTGCCCGCCTGTGCCGCAGGCATTGATCGCCACGCTGTAGCTTACAACATTTGGCACGATCTTCGCTCTCGGCATGTCATTGAACAAGGAAACGGCCAATTCCCACCTACTTGCCTTCTCTAGCGCGCTGATGGTCGAGCTATAGCTGATGACGTTTGGTGCTGTCGTTCGCGGGAGCGCCGTAAACAGGGCCAACGCAAGCTGCCATTGCTCTCCTTTCTCGCAGCAGCCTATGGCAGCTCCATAGCTGAACACATCCGGTGCAAGCTTTGCGTTGGGAATCTCCAGGAAAAGTCCCAAAGCCCGTTGCCACTGCCTCACGAGAGGGGCTTCCCCCCTGAAACCCTAAACCCCAAACCCTTAAACCCTTAAACCTAAACCCTAAACCCTAAACCCTAAGATGAAGCATACCCAGGTCTTGCATGGCAGTACTGCACTCCTAGACCGAAAGGCAGGCCCGAAAACCAGCATGACTAAAAAAAACTTTGTAATTTGATAGGAATTATCGTAGTCAGGGCAGATGACCCCAATTTCAGGGTTCATCTGGTCCCCAAGGTATTTTCACTCTATAGGGTTGAGGGTTTCGGATTCATGATTCAGGTTGTCGCTTGTCGATGACTCTTAGCATCTTCTTCTCTGTTTCAAGCTTCAGCTTTGCTGTTGCTTGTATACTTGGGGCTTCCTGTCATTGCTACGGCGAAACACAACATCACATCGCGAGCCACCATCTGCCAAGCTGTGTCGCTCAACACGTTTGTGCTGGCCCGACCTCTTGCTGTTCTGAAAGCATCAAAGTTGACCCTGAATCTTAGCAACCACAAGCACACACCCCAAACCCTAAAGCCTAAACCCTAAACCCTAAACCCTAAAGCCTAAAGCCTAAAGCCTAAAGCCTAAAACCTGAACCTCCCTAAACCTCCCTAAACCCCAAACCTCCCTGGTGACGGCCTCCCTTTCTCTAGCGAGCTCATTGTGGCGTTGTAGAGGATGAGGTCTGGCTCCAGGTGGCAATCGGGCAAGAGGGCGAACCTGCAGGCGAATACAGCAGTCGGCAGCTCTCAGATCCCATACATCGGAAGGTTTAGGGTTTAGGGTTTAGGGTTTAGGGTTTCGGGTTTAGGATTTAGGGTTTAGGGTTTGGGGTAAAAGGTTGCCCACACTGCACAGCAGGCAAGGCTCAACGACAGGGCCGACTGCCACAACTTCCCAGCCGCGCAGGCACTCATACCTGCATCCGGCAAGCGCTTGAAGGTTACTGGGTTCTTACAAGTAGGGCTACTTACATTTGGGGTTTAGGGTTTAGGGTTTAGGGTTTAGAGTTTAGGGTTCGGGTTTAGGGCTCTGCTACACGTGTCCTTGGGCCAACAGAACCCGCAGCGCTCTACAGGCCCTAAGGCTGCCCTGTAAATCCACCCTCAGCCCTTAACTTTGCCATACACTTCCAGCTACTTGAAGGTTCATGGGTTATGTACAAGTAGGGTGCGAAGTACCCTAAATAACGTTCTCACCATAGTTACCCACGTGAAAACCCTAGTAGTCACCCATGAACCTCCAAATTCCCCCATGGTGGGGCCACTGTAAGAGCACCCTGCAACGATCCCAATAAGAGAGAGCTGCTTCTGGCCCAACGACGTGGATCGGAAGCCTTCTGCGTGGTTAACCCTAAAACCCTAGACCCTGGTAGAATCAGCGTGCGCCATCATTGGCGCGAATCTCACCCGTTCTTAAGGGGAACTGTCTAGTCCCGTGATTACGGGGTTCTGTAGGGGGAAGGGAGGTACCTCATTCCCTACGAAGAGCCTCTAGTAGCAAAATGAAGCTTCTGCAAACCTCCACACATCTCCACACCCTCAACCGTCTCAAGCTCAATCAGCAAACCGAGCCTGCGGTGAAGTGAGCCAGACCCAGTCTCAGCCCTCCCTCAGCACGGAGGACGTCGATCACCTCTTCCCCAAGCAGGGTTCTGGGTCGGGTTTTTGACTTCTCGCGGCAACTAGGCCTTAAATTGGGGAGGGGGGAGGGGGGGAGTGGCTATGTCTAGATATCTTCAACCCCGACCGCCAAGGCATATGCTCCCACAACCTGCCAGGAGTTTACCTGTAGCCCAAACAACCTACCTTTTCAAGGGGACAAATAAGAAAATCATAATCAGGAACCCCTCCCCCCCCCCCCCCCCCCCCCAAAAAAAAAAAAAAAAAAAAAAAAAAAAATAGGTAGGTTTTCTGGGCTGCAGGTAGGGTCTGAAGAAAGGCAAGGGCGGAGAAATTCGATTGTTTCTCTCAATTCTCTCGACGGAAGGCTTGGAAGCTTGGTAGCCCAGTAACCATCTTAACATCAGGGCGCCCTTTTTTGGGTTGCGCTTGGGTTGCGTACTTTCTAAGGGAGCCTAGAACCCAAAACAGGGTCAAGGGCACCACTGGGCTACCAAGGAAAGCTTGTAGAGTCTTGGTGAGAGATTCGGGAATAACAACCTGAAGTTCTACGTTCCAGCAATACTGCCCCAAAGCACCTCATACACGAGGTCCGCACGCCTCTCCTCTTTCAACTCCCGCAGCCTTGGAGAACAAGCTGCTGATGTATCTAACCCTAGACCCTAAACCCTAAAACCCGAAACTGGGGATTTCCACGGGGCACATCTTTGCCTGGGAGGGCTGGGAGAAGACCCACAAACATCACAACAAAAAAACAAAACACGCAAGCCTCGGGCGGAGAGTCTTACCATAGGGGCCTGAATAGTTAGTTAGAATATTAGAATAGGGGATTCTTATCGCATAATTGCAAGGGGACCGTATACTATGAGTAAATGTCCCGACGCCTATAGTACGGTTTCTAGGTTGGGTTCCCTAAACCCTAAACCCTACACCCTAAACCCTAAACCCTAAACCCTAAACCCTAAACCCTAAACCCTAAACCCTAAAGCGTTCAACCACGAACAGGAGCTGTAGAGGTGCCGGGGAACGCAAGACCTTAAGTTTTAAGGGTTAGTTTCATGGTCCCTGGGTATGAGCCCTTATATACCCCTTGTATACCCTGTACAACCCAAGGGCCCATACATCAGACTCCTTTAAAGAGGGCACGGGACCATATTAAGGGCCCATGACACTACCCTGACAAGCGAAGGGGAGGGAAAGATACATGTAGGCGCTTCTTGGTACCTGACTCTTACAGCTGCGTTTCAACCTTTAGCAATCCAGTCTCGGACTCCTGTCAAAGGAGCCCTCACGAGTTTAGGGTTTAAGGTTTTGGGTTTCGGGCTTTGGGTGAACAAGGCTGCGAAACGAGAGTGGGAGTGAGATGAATGGTACGAGGTTTCTTTTGATGCTGAGACAAACCCGTCGACACAAACCTTGTGGCCTAGGGCATCTTGGGGTGACTCGAAGACCTCCATCAACAGGATACGTTCATGCCAACCGTCTGTATAGATGGTGCAAAGATGCCTGGCGCTCCCAAAATCACAAAGCCGCCACCTAAACCCTAAACCCTAAACCCTAAACCCCCTTAAACCCTAAACCCCCCTAAACCCTAAACCCTAAACCCTAAACCCCCTTAAACCCTAAACCCCCCTAAATCCTAAACCCCCCTAAACCCTAAACCCTAAACCCTAAACCCTAAACCCTAAACCCTAAACCCTAAACCCTAAACCCTATAAGAAAAGGGCCCTCCCTCTTCTCATCATCACAGAAAGGCCTCCAAGGTAGATGCCTCTGCAAGAACATGCCCGAACAAAGTGTTAAGCCCTCCGTCAGCAGTAAGCAGCCACTGCTTGGGCCTTGGTTTAGGGTTTAGGGTTTAGGGTTTAGGGTTTAGGGTTGGCCTAGTCTTCGTTTGTGGAGGGGTTTGTGCCCTCATTTAGGGGGTTATAAGTTAGAACCTCCAGTTTGCAGAGTTTGGGAGACAGAGTTGATGGCCCTCAACGCACCATAACCCTAAACCCTAAACCCCAAACCCTGATCCTAAACCCCAAACCCTAAACCCTAAACCCAAACCCTGAACCCCAAACCCTAAACCCCCGAACCCCAAACCCGAAGGTGCCGAGACGCAATTGCAAGCTGGCCTTGGGGTGGTGCCGCAGCATGGGAAGCTCAGGGAACAGCACAGCTGCCACCTCTCAGGGAGTTTTGGATTTCATGCTCACGCTTCTTAAGGGTTTTTGCTTAAGGTTTGGGGTGTAGGGTTAGGGTTTAGGGTTTGGGGCTTGGGGTTTAGGGCTAAACCCTAAACCCTGAAACCTAAACCCTAAAACCTAAACCCTAAACCATCCTAAACCCTACACTGCCTGCACCCTGCTGGCGGATGGGCCCAGCTTCTGCAGTCGGAGCGCGGCTGAGGGTCGCCGCAAGGACCTTCCACAAGGTCACCCAGACTCCCCCAAATCGCAACACGTTTAGACTAGTCTTTAGGGTTTAGGGTTTAGGGCTTAGGGTTTAGGGTATAGGGCTGATCAAACTTATAGGGCTTATCGGGCTTTTGTAGCGTTTATAGGGTGTATAGGCTTTAGGGTTTGGCGAGTTGGGGTCTAGCTTTCGTATTCCATTCACCGGAGGTCGAGCGCACCCACATTTCGGGAGCCTTGGCCCCTTGGCCAGAACTTCTGGATGATGAACCTAAGCACACCCCAAACCCTACACCCTGACCCCTAAACCCTAAACCCTAAGCCCTAAGCCCCTACACCCTAAACCCCTACACCCTAAACCCCTGCACCCTGAACCCCTAAACCCCTAAACCCCCAAACCCTAAACCCTAAACCCAGCACCCTATATGGGACCTATAGCATCCCGAATCGCCTGGCTATTGGTCTGCAGCACTTTCGGGGGGATGTTGTTCACATGGACGGCTTAACCTCTGGAACATACTCTTAAATCTGATCCCCTTAAACCAATTCGTGAGGATATGGAATATTTCAAAGGCCTATAACGTTCATAACCTTTGGAAGGCCAAACGGAATACTTTCTTTGCGTGGATAATCGCAAGTTGAGCCAAAGGCGCTGCCGATGCCCAGGCACATTGCGCCAGGAGAGATTAAATGCCCGAGCATGCATGACTAGGGTTGTAAGAATTCTCACATGCCATATTACGCACATGCATCCTCACAATCATAAAGGTTATAAGATTTCACAGGCTTTGGGCTTTGATAAGCCCCTCTGTTTTCCGCATTTTGCTGGCCTCCAGGGACCTTCGGGCTTGCAAGAAAGGGTTGAGGGTTTAGGGTTTAGGGTTTAGAGTTTAGGGCACAGCTGCGTGAACATCCTAGTTTCAGGGAGGGTCTGATTCCAATTTCAGCTGGTCTAGCCTTGCAACTCGAGCCAGATGCCTCAGCTCAGACAGTTCCAGAACGAACGATTGTATACACACACACACACACACACACCTTTTTTCTATGCATATAACAGCACTGTTAACAGAGTCATATTACACTATAAGAGTATAATCATGCAATTAAAACAAGCATATCATATCACAAGAGTAAAATAATGCGATAATATAGTAATGAAATAGTCGAATAACAGGTTCATGAACTACCAAGAAGACATGAAATGAACATACATTAACAGAATACTAGGGGTAAAAATGTCGTCATATACTACTATAATCACATACTAGTGTAATCACATATTGTTTTAGATTGCACATACAGTTCTACAACTTTCGCAATTAATAATGGCGATAGTTGTAGAACTGTATGTGCAATCGAGTATATGAAAAACTACATACATATATACACACTTCCATTACATTCTCTAAAGACAAATGAGTAGTTTATTGCTGCCTTTATTCCTATTTACAATACCGCACGATTCTTGTGACAGCTCTGTGCTGCCATATGGTATTCCATTCCCGGCCCTTCCTTTCGTGGCGCCTTTTTGTCCCAAGGCGAAGATGAGTCAGATCTGCCCGACTGACTCGGAGCCTGACACGCCCCTTGTCTCGACTTCCAGCCTGCACCGGGTGCGACTTTTGGGAAAGTTAGGGGGGCTGCCTTCTTCGGGGTCCTTGTTATAAGGGGATCGTACTCTTTTGGGGGTCTATTTTAGGCGTCCCCCGAATTGTCGTAAACCACAATGTGTGATTGCGGAAGGGAGGCAGGTTCTTATGGCATTCCGGGCTGGAACCTCCTAAACGCAACCATTCACCCCCACGACCCTGCCATGTCGGTGCGTTGGAGATCGCAGGAGCAAAGGGAGCATCCAAACCTGAACCCAAGACCCACGAGAAGATGCCGATGTCGGGCCTGCCCTAAGCAACCTTCTACCACAAAAACTGTGCCGATGCGCAATAACCATGGCACACTCCACAGCAACTTCGGGGGCATAAAGGCTGGTCTAGGTAGGCAGGGGCTGAGAACGTTGGCGATAACCCTTTTTAGGGTATAACCCTCTTTATAAGTACCCATGAACCTCCAAGTCACCTTCTCCTCTTGTTCTGAGGGCAGGAGGCTTGTTGTTTCCAGTATAGATTCGAAACATTGTCAACTTGCTTGCTTCGGATTCTCGTCAGATCCGAGAGGTGTGGGCTACGTACATATTTGGCTATCAAAGTAGGGGTACTCGGTATAATAAAAACCCAAAATCCGATTTCCCGTATGATCAAAGCTCGACAAGTCTAGACCCGGGAGCAACCTAGGAATAAAAAGGGTGCCCTTTTTGGGGTTTAAGGGGATTATAAGGGAACCCCAACTCTCCTAAACCCTAAACCCTAAACCCTAAGCCCTAAAACGTAAACCCTAAACCCTAAACCCCAAACCCCAAACCCTAAACCCTAAACCCTAAACCCTAAACCCTAAACCTAGCTGCCACCTCTGTGCAGATACCGTGATCTCGCAGTCTGGCCATCACAGACGCATGAAGGTCTGAGTTGGACCACATCGGCCGGGACTTGCCCCAACCTGTGCGGAGGGTTTAGGGTTTAGGGTTTAGGGTTTAGGGTTTAGGGTTAGCCGCGGGGTTACTCAGGATGGATTGAGGAATTTGGGGAGGCTAGGGCTCGCACCGTTATGCCTAGGGACTCTTCAAACGCATGATCCGGCTGCTGACCACTTCTACACTGCACTGCTGTGCAGCAAAAAGATTTTAGGGTTTTGGATTTGGGTTTGGGGCCGGTGCAAACTCTTGAACCCAATACTTCGGATCAGAACAGATTGGCAAGCGTAACGCGTTGCAAATCATTGAAGCTGTGATGTTCGAGGGTGCCTACTTGACATCATGCACTGGCCACGGGCTACGTGACCTGCAATACCATCTTTTGTGGCAGCCGCTCTTGACACAATTGGGCATGTTCTGCCCCAAAACCTCAAAACAATAGCCTTGGCCATTTTCAAACTTTACCGTCCCCTGTTCGGCACCCCACAAAAAGGAAGCTCCCGTATGATGATAAGAACCTGATTTAGAGAAGCCCCCCCCCCCCCCCCCAACTCCCCCACGTGTACAATCGGCCCTTCGGCCCGGGGATGATGGTCATGATTTCGGCTCCCGAAGTACCCACTGTCTGCACTCATCTGTGGCGTCGCTGCGCCTGTGATGATGAAGCACGTCTGGCGAGAGGTCGGGTGGAGGTGGTGAGGGAGGACCTCCGAAAGCCACCACCTGCAGAGTACGGGAGAGGAGTCGCTGTGAGGTCTCGACTCCTCTATCACAGCGGGCTACGACAGGGTCATCCGTACAAATGTATTGAGTTGCAGTCTTGGGCAGCATCGATCCATATTCGATCATACTTAAGATGGCCCCTCGGAAGACCTCTCATCACCTTGATGCAACGCATATCACCGTACTAGCAAGTCCTGAACTCGGAACCCGTACCTTACAAAAGACTCTGGATGCCGAGTGTGGATACAAAATACGAAACCCTAAACCCTAAACCCCGAAGGGTGCATACATGTTACTCTAGGAAAAAGCCGGCGCCTGACGGCAAGCCACGCAGCGCCAGGTGATGTATCCTTCTTCGGCAACGGCAAATGGGGTTTAGGGTTTAGGGTTTAGGGTTTAGGGTTTAGGGTTTAGGGTTTAGGGTTTAGGGTTTAGGGTTTAGGGTTTAGGGTTTAGGGTTTAGGGGTTAATTCACAGGCTATTTAAGGGGGAACTGGGGACGGGGGTGGGGGAGTATAGAGGGCGGTTGTCGGGGAAACCATGAGCCAGAGGCCAAAAGGTTTCGATAGTTTTGGGTGTAAGGTTGAGGGGTTAGGGTTGAAACGTCAAGGATCAGGGTTTACCTAGAGTAACTGTTCTAGTCTCAAACATCCCCTGAGAGTTTAGGGTTCAGGGGTTTTGTGGTTTTGCGCTGGGGTACTAAATCCGGGAAGGGCTCTGCCTTCTAGATTCTCTCAGACTTTCAGGGGTCTATGATACGAGTTATTATAGAGAGCCAGAGAATTGGAAAGGGAGTTTCTTTGGCGGGGCTCGAACCGCAGATCTCCGACTCCCTACCGAGAACCAGTAAGTTACCAAGACCCTAATCCTAAACCCTAAACCCTAAACCCTAAACCCTAAACCCTAAACCCTAAACCCTAAACAAAACCTTCAACCCTCAGACATAAGAACCTCCAGTTCTCGAATTCTTGGCTTGATGGCGGCCCGACTAGCCTCGCCTGGCCTCTACCCCAAACAACTAAACCCACATACTTGGTAGCCCAGTAAACATATAGAAATCAGGGCGCCCTGTTTTGGATTGGGTACCATGTATACGGGAACCTCCCAAAAACCGGGCAAAGGGTACCACTGGGCTGTCAAGCATATGGCAAGTCCTTGCAGCTTTATGTCGAGACGAGCATCATGCAAATCCAACAGGGTCGCGCCCTTGCGGAGGAGACCGGCGTATTGTGATCGCGCTTGCCGGAACCTCAGCTTCAACGTCAAGCAAGGATTTCTTTTGTGTATTGGCTTTGAGGCCCAAAGGCCTTCTCATATAAGGTTGTTGGGCAGCTTTGAGCCTAATCCCAATATGGGAAATTCTAAAATGTCCAAAGGGCCTACCTGGCTAAGGGTAGGCCCTAAACCCGGGCTTGGATTCAGGCTCTTGGGATTTAGGGCCGGTTTCGGACCATGGAACTTCCGTTAGACAAACAGCCAAACTGATGTACCCGGCTAAACGCAGAGCCCAAGAACACAACTGACATACGGAAGAATGGCAAAGCCCCCAAGCCCTAAACCCTTCAGCCTAAACCTTGAACACCCTATATAAACTCTGTAGACCCCAAGCCCTGTAGATCATAAGCCTGGAAAGGCGCAGTGACGTTCATCTACACTCCCCCCCCCCGCCCCCCCAGAAACAAAACTCTCTCTTTAAATGGTTTGAAGGGGCGGGAAGTGGGGTGTAGGAACCACGTTTAAAACCCCTAAGTCAGTTGGATCCGAAACCCTAAACCCAAACGCTACGGACCGAAAGGAGAGACCCTTACAAGGGACCTTAGGGGCTACTTAGGTATATAGGGTGTATATATACATATACGGAATATGCAGGGCTATATAGGGAACAAAGTAAGGGTGGTCCATCCTTATATCCCGTCAGAAACCCTAAATCCCTGAACCCTAAGCCCAAAACCCGAAACCCTAAGCCCTAAACCCTAAGCCCTGAACACTAAACCCTAAACCCAGTTGGACCCAGGGAGCAAGATCATCCCTGCATCACTGTGCTGCAGGCAATCGAATAGAACGTTGTAGCTGACGATGTTCGGCGTGACCTAACACTGAATCCCCTCGACCGGAGGGTTTAGGGTTTAGGGTTCAGGGTTTAGGGTTTTGGGTTTCGGGAAACCCTCAAACTCTGAACCCTGAATCCTAATCCTAACCCCTGAGACTCCTTAACCTTCACTCTTAACCCTCAAGCTCCTACCCTAAATCTTCAAGCCTCAACCCTGAAATGCATCTGACCCAAAGCAGCCTCAGGTGTAATGGGCCCTAAGATCAGAGTTCGTGTGTTTTTTGTTTGGCATGTAGGGGTTTATGAAAATTAGGGACAGGGTTTAGGGTTTAGGCGGGTTTCCCCAAACTGTGGGATTCCCTCATAATGAGGACCCCAATAACGTACCCATTTCGGAGGCCCACATATAGAGTTTCATAAAGTGGCATGTCGAGATTTGATTTCGCTCTCGTGGTGGAGGGCTTCAGGGGTGATAGGCTGAATAAAACTGTTCAGGCCCTATCCCTAAACCCTAAACCCTAAACCCTAAACCCTAAACCCTAAACCCTAAACCCTAAACCCTAAACCCTGAACCCTAAACCCTAAACCCTAAACCCTAAACCCTAAACCCTAAACCCTAAACCCTACTCAGTACTGGTACGGTACCTGGGCCCCAAACAGTGAACTGTAAGCCTCTTAGGGCCTTCGGGGATCGGGATCCTTTGGCTGCAAAGGTCGAATTCACGATCGCGGGGTGGCGGAAGCATCAAAGTTTTGGATCGTGTTAGGGTTTAGGGTTTAGGGTTTGGGGTTTAGGGTTTAGGGTTTGGGGTTTAGGGTTTGGGGTTTAGGGGTTTCGAGATTTAGGTCCCAAGCTCTTCAGCGTCACACCTGCACCATGTTGGGAACCTTCGATGACGTTTATGGCGGCTCGTCGCTCCCCGCACCCTGAACGACAATAACGCAAAACTGGCTGGTTCTTAGTAGGGAATGCGGGAAAGAAGGCTGCATATAATCCCTTAAAGGGTATATATATATATATAGGGCTACTAAGAACCAGCCAGAAAAAACCTTCCAGAAACCCCCACACACCCCTGTCAGCCCCCCTCCACAAAAGAACATCAATCGCCAGAACGTGCTTCTGAGGCTACTGGAGCCCCTGAGGAGTCAGTGAAGAGGTTACTGGGTAGGGGGGGGGAGGGAATTTTGGGCCAAAACCCTAATCAACCCTAAACCCTAAGCCCCGAAACCCTAAACTCTAACCCATCAGGATTTCGCATAAGCACCTCATCCTCGGTCATGGTCTGGAAGAGCTGCAACGCCAGCTGCCAGTGTGTACCCTTACCTGATCAGCTCTGGTAGGGCTTAGGGTTTAGGGTTTAGGGTTTAAGGTTTAGGGTTTAGGGTTTAGGGTATAAGGTTCATGTGCGATTAAGGGCTGGGGTTAGCTGCTTTAAGGGGTATAAGGAGGGACCCCCAGAGGTGACCCTTAATCTCATTTTCCCTCCATAACCCCTATATATATATATATCATATATCATGTACATACATATATATATATATACCTTATATAGTCCCTCTATACCTTATGTAGTCCCTATATACCTTATATAGTCCCTATAAAGCTTAGTAGGCCCTCAACAACCCCCAAATGACCCCTAAGGACCCTTATGAGGGTCCCTCCTTTAGTCCCTTGCATGCTGCGAGGACCCAGCAGGTTGCGCACTAGGATAGATCCATGCTCAAGACCCTAAAACACAAGCAACAAGGACACACCCAACACCCAACACATTTAGCAGTCGAAACCTACAACTCCAAGCTCTCACATCTGAACCCTGAACCCCATCATAATCCTACACCTAAACAGAGGAGGGCGGGTGCGCGTAGGGTGCAGGTCTTGAGCCTGAGATTCAGAGTGCAATGCTCAGCAGTCATACTCGGAGCCCTTGGGATGCACCCCCAAGAGGTTCCCTTCATACACTCCCAATGTGGCCTTATAATTTTGGTTTAGGGTTTCGGGTTTAGGGTCTAGGATTTAGGGCTTAGGGTTGGGAGGATCTTTGACAAGGGTCCCCAAACATAAGGGTGCAGCCTTAGGGGGGTTTAAGGGGGCGATGCAACCCAAAGTTCCCGAATGCTCCCCACTACTCCCTAAGGCTCCCTAAGGTTTCCGAACGTTCCCCAGGTGCCCGGCCCGCCATGAACCCTAAACCCTAAACCCTAAACCCTAAACCCTAAACCCTAAACCCTAAACCCTAAACCCTAAACTCCTCCCTTGACCCTATAAGTAGAGAGCTACCGCAAGCGGCAAAGCCGGCAGAGAAGTTGACGACGTCTGGACGGATCCTCGCCTCAGCCGAAGGGGTTTAAGACCGTTTAGTCTTTAGGGTTCGGGGTTTAGGGTTTATTAGAGCAGTTTTGGGCTTTTCAGGCCTTGTGCTTGGGGCTTGCAAGGTGGCAAGAAGCCACTGAATCTGGGAGCACCCTAAACCCTTTACCGCTAAGCCCCAGGCTTAGGTACCTCATCCGCAAACTCAAAGGCAGCTTTCTACCACTGAGTTGGCGAATGTCTATATTTTACCCTCGCCCTAACCAAAATAAGGGCCCCCCAACCTAGATGTCTTGTTTGCCGTCTATAAGGCCGTGACCTGTCGACAAGTAACGATGATGTAGCTGGTTCAGGCTTTCTGGATAAACTAGGCCCAAGTAGGAATAAAACGGGTACCCTTTTTGGTTTCAAGTGTCTTATAAGGGAACTTAACCCCCAAACAAGTGAAATAATGCCCTACTCTTGGTCCTAGCAAGTAGTGAACGACAAAAGAAGGAACCAATATGGCGGAATACCCTCAGAACCACCGAGTGTAAGGATTCACTTTGGGATGTTCCCCCCCTATCCCAACAATCCTTACTGGATTATCGCACGCCCGATTATAATCCTATTCAGGACTGATAGCAAAAGGGGGACCATCCCAAGATTCACTTGTGGCCAGGCACTTCCCCTTCTGGGAGGCATAGGCTTTTGAGCAGGGCTAGCTTTGGAGGAAAGCAAGCATCCGATGGTGAATATGATGACACCTCATGGACCCAACTAAGGGCCACCCTCCCCCCCCCCCCCCCAACCCAAAAAACAAGAAATATACAGGCCTACGTAGGTATTCAGCCTCATTTGGAAGTTAGGTCGGGGTTTTTGCTTGAGCGCAGGCGGTATCCCTAAACCCTAAACCTTAAACCCGAAACCCTAAACCCTAAACCCTCAACCCTAAACCCTACCTCCACCGCTGCGTAGCGGCCCGGGGCATGGCGGCGAAGAGATGCAGAGCCAGCTGCCACCTCCCAGACTCAGACATGGTTTAGGGTTTAGGGTTTGGGGTTTAGGGAGATTTAGGGTTTAGGGTTTAGGGTTTAGGGTCCAGAAATTTGGGGTTTGGGGGGTATATAACGCAAAAGCCAAACTCCAAACCCCTTACGCCCCAAGGCCTGTACACTCCTGAACCATTTAGTTCGAATAGTGCTGCCCAAACCTAAGTTTGGGCTTTGGTGCGGGTAGAGCGTAGCTAGTGTGGGGGGGGGGGGCCTGTGTAAATGATCCACAGCCTTATAAGCCCCCAAAGGGTGTAGCTGGGGTAAGTGTGTGTGTGTGTGTCTAGAGCCGCAACAATCCTAAACCCTAAATCCCCAAAGAACGAAACCCTAAATCCTAAGCCCTAGAGCTGGATCCGCGTTCAGTGATTTGGGCATAAGGGGGCGAGGGCATACTTCACGGCCCTGGTCCTCAGAATCTCAAGGTTTCGCAGTCAGCTTAAGACTTCGGGTTTGGGTGGCGCGCGTACCTGAAAGGCACAACACCCGAAACCCCCAAATAACCTAAATTGCAGACCCAAAATTATATATATAACCTTGGCCCGACACCTGAAACCTTGAGCCCACCAATGACTAAACCCTAATGTCCTCTTCGATTTTAGGGGGCCCCGCCCCCATATGCGCATAGACGAAAACGTTAAACATGGGACCACCTCTGTGCCTTCTCGCAGGCGCTCCTGGGTACGTTGGGTCAGTTTCGGGCCGTCGGGGGCCGTAGGGTTGACTTTGGAGGTTCATGGGCCGATAACCTAATCTAGGGAATAGAGCCCCCCCCCCCCCCCCCCTAAAGGGAACCTCCCCGACCAACGGATACAGTACCCCCTATTTTCGGAAACCCCCTCTAAGGGGTTTTCGGGGTTGGGCGGGGGTCGAGGGGCTGCGGCTTTCGGCTAGGGCTTCGGCTTTTGGGGGACGACATAGGGTTTCTGCTTCATAGACCTCAATAGGAATTCTATTAGTTATAGGGAGTATAGGGTACATGACCCCAATTTTCGGGTTCCTTCGGTCCCCAAGGCGTAGGTTACTTGAACTGTGTAGGACTCCGAGAGGTTGAGGACTTCAGGTTTAGTAGGTTAGGGGTTTATATAAGGATCAGTGATGGAAATAGGGGTTTTATCAGCGGCTTCTATAGAGCTTAGGGAAGAAGCCCTCAGCCCTAAAACCCCAAAAACCCTGAACCTTGGGCATTTTTGGCAAAATCCTTCGAGTCGTTTTAGCCGTTTGGGCGGCATCGTCTCAGGCCGAGGCACATGAGGGACCCAAACGTCACGGCAGTGCGGGGAATGCGTGAGATACCCATCGCAGTGAACAGATGCAACGCTTCCTCCAACTGCTTGGGGCATTTTAGGGTGCAGGGTTTGGGTCGCGCCGACTTCCAGTTTGGGGTCTTCCCTAAGGATCCAAGTACCTATATAGTATAACTTTGGGCTTTAAAGGGGTGGCTTTGTTGTAGCTTTAGGGCCCAAGCAAATACCATGTAGGTACATGGATCCTTAGGGTTTGGAGCTTGGGGGGTGGGGGGGGGGGGGGGTGGTGGTTAAACTATAGCGTGCACAGCATACCACAGCCGACGCACCCAGGGTCATGAATTACACAGCCCTGAGCCCTGAAGCTGCGAAGAGGGTGGTACCCTAAACTCGAAACCTAAATCCTACCCAGGACACTTGGCTTCAAGGAAAGCTTGAAGCCAAAAATCCGAGGACTTACAGCCCCCCGCCCCCCCCCGCCCCCCCGGGATTTTTCGCACCTTGTGTACTGCCACAATAACTATTTGTTGGACCTCGCCTTTGCATACCAGCTGGTCTCATGTCGACGTCATTTCTCTGCTGCCAAGTGCCGATTCTGACACATCGTTGAATGGCACAGGTGAGCACCCGTAAACCCCACTTGCAGGTTCATGTTACTAATTAGACACTTATGCTTGTGCTTATAAGCCACCTATACGAACCTTAGGTGCCCATTATGGCTACAAGTACAGTTATAAGTGCAGTCATAAATGGTTAATAAGTACCATGAACCTCCAAGTACCTCCAAGTACTCGAGGTTCATGGGTACTGATAAGTACGGTCCTAAGTAGGGTAACTCTGCTTATTTTCTTGGGATGTTCCGCCTTTTTTTTAACATACCTTTTTGGGAAGTTGAGGGGGGGGGGGGGAGGTACTTTCATCCCTACTAAGGACTGTCAGTATGAGGGGGAACATCCCAACCTTTCTCATTTTCCTCCCAAATCTTACAAACAAGCTGAGCCCAACAATATTTACAAAAGGCACCCGCAAGCCACAAATCATGAACAGCAAAAACGAAAAAGCAACGAGGCTGCAGGGTCACTTTCCGGGATATTGGAGGTCCTGCCACTGTCCAGCTTTCTCGCAGGCGCTGATGGCAGTGTTGTAGCTGACATCATTGGGTGTGATCCTTAGAGAGCTGTAGAACTTCGGGCTCTTGGAGTGTTCACGGGTTCTAAACCCTAAACCCTAAACCCTAAACCCCAAACACCCCTGGCAAGTGAACGTGGAAGTCGAGTCGGGAGCCATTTCTCTGACTGGACGAGACCCGGAACACTGAACGCCATACACCCGCACCGCAACGCTTCCATACAACTCGTTATAATCAGGCACAACACTGAACTAGCTTGAAACTGTGAACCTTAAAGAGCTCCTCTCCAGACTTCACCAATTCCTCTGCCAGGCATCGTTGCAGCCGCCATATCCCTGAAAAGCAGAAGCGACCGCTGCCATTCCGAACCAAGCCCGCAAGAGCTGATCGCAGCCTCCGACGTGCATGGGCTGTCAGGTTTCAGATGATGCTATTGTTTGAGGGTGGCTCACAGTTATGCCTTCGAGTTCGCCTGGAAGTTTTGGGTTCGGGGGTGACGTTTCAGGTTGCAGGGAACCCAAACCCTAAACCCTAAACCCTAAACCCTAAACCCTAAACCCTAAACCCTAAACCCTAAACCCTAGTTTTTCCGCTCCGGGATCTGCCCAGCTGCGCTGTAGCTGATGACGTTGGGGGCCGCCGTGGCTGGCATCTGCTCCAAGAGGACAAGCGCCCGCTGCCACTGCCCGCTCTTCTCGCCTTAGGGGACGTCAAAATCCACGGAGAGCCCTAAGCCCTAAACCCATATAAACCAATACAAACCGAATAAACCCAACAAACCCAACAAACCCAACAAACCCAACAGACCCAATCAACCCCTAAACGCTTGAACCACACACACACACACCTGGAGTCTACACTTCAAAATTGCAAGGTGGAGTTGAAGCAGCCTCCCAGGCCTCATAAGGGTTGAGCCCAGGAAGGCTTTCTGGGACTCCGCCACTTTTTGACCCCCCGAACCTTTGAAAACCTAAGCACGCCAGGGGACTTAGGGTGTAGGGTTTAGGGTTGTTTAGGGTTCAGGGTTTAGGGTCAACCCAGGCCAAACCCTCAACTTATGCCCTAAACCCTAAAATCTATTTGCTGCCTTTAAGGCTGGGCACAGCAGGAGATGGCCACCGTGTAGCCCATGGCATCCGGGGCGATCTGCTTTGATGGCATGGCACACAGCAGAGACAACGCAACCTGCACCAAGGGTTCAGGGTTTAGAGTTTAGGGTTTAGAACTTAGGATTTGGTGTTTACAGTTTAGAGCAAGTTCGTTCCTTCATGACGTTGCTCGAGCGGGGGGGAGGAGGAATGGGGGAGGAGGGGCAGGACGGGGAGGAGCAGGACGGGGGGAGGAGGAGGGGGGGAGGAGGGGGAGGGGGGGGGAGGAGGGGGAGGAGGGGAGGAGGAATGGGGGGCATTGCCTGCTCTCTTTCCCCTCCCTTCCGAGAAGTCTTGGGATGAAAGACGGGCTAGGATGCGACCATCGAGGAACCTTAGACCTTTCAACAAAAAGGGGGGGGGGGGGGGGGCGGAAGGGGGCTTAGGGTTTAGGGTTTAGGGTTTACGGTTTAGGGTCCAGGGTGCGAACATACCCAAGACATATCGGCGCCTTTCCTTCTTTTCTGTTGAGGGAGTGATTGCTTGCTCTAGGACTCTAGGAAGGGCTTCGGTTTCCCAACTCGCCCCAGCCCCTAAAGTTAAACGCCCTATAAAGATCATGTAGGGTTTGGGGTTTGGGTTTAGGGTTCGGGGTTTGGGGTTTAGAAGACTTTGAGCAAGAACAACAAACCCTGCAAGCCTAGAAGCCTTTCGAATTTTAAAGAAGCCCCTAAATCTAGCACCTGGTGCCCCAAAACCCCACAATCTGAAACCCACAAACCCTACATCCTAACCCTCTCAACCCTAAACACGCAAACCCAAAACCCTGAATCCTAATCCATCAAGCCAACCCGAAACCCTACAAACCCTGAACCTGAAAGCAAGACAAGGCAGCACCCGCCTCCCACACGGAAGCCGACTGGCAGGAACCCATGGCGGCACTGTAGGTAACCTGGGCTTCAGGTGCAGGGTTTAGGGATTGGGGTTTCGGGTTTCGGGTTTCGGGTTTAGGGTAGGCTAATAAGGTCCATGGAGTTTGCAGGTTTCGGTTTCAAAGGCTTAGGGATGTTCAAGGTCTTTATGGGGCTTCACAGTGTAGGGTTTAGGGTTTAAGGCTTAGGAGTAGGATGGAAAGTCGAGGGTGCAACGAAAAGCTCACACAGCACAAGAGGTGGATGTTTTTTACAGCCCAGGAACTACTGCCAGCAGGAGACGTAAGCGCCGCCCCCTTACTGTAGGGGGTGGCCTAGGCCTTGAATTTTGGGTTAGGATTTAGGGTTTGTAGGGTTTAGGCTTGATCCGACTGCTCACGCCACGCCTGGCCTGATCCAGAAGCCCCAACCCGGCGACGCCCCAAAAGCCCAAAAGCCATAAACTTTTCGTGAACCACCCTAAACCCTAAACCCTAAACCCTAAACCCTAAACCCTAAACCCATGAGCATTCAGCAAAGCCTGAACCCTACAACTTGGTGGCGTTGCGAGGATGGGCTATTCGGCCTCATAATCCCCGTTAGTGGGGGCCTTTTTGAGGGTTCTAGGGCATAATAGTATCCATCGTGGTAGCCCAGTGACGATATTACAATACAGGCACCTTCTTGTGGGTTGGTTACGAAAAGGGAACCTTCAACCAAAAAAAGGGGAAAGGGTACCACTGAGCTACCAAGTTACCCTGAACCCTAAACCCTAAACCCTAAACCCTAAACCCTAAACCCTAAACCCTAAACCCTAAACCCTAAACCCTAAACCCTAAACCCTAAACCCTAACCAAGCCATCCTGGTATGGGGATCTTGACGAGCCTAGCCACCACGTTCGGCTGGACGTGGCTTAAAGGCATGCAGTCCAGGAGGTGCAGGGCGAGCTGCCACTCCTTATCATGAAGTCCGTAAGAGCTCAGGGTTTAGGGTTTGGGGGTTTGGGGTTTAGGGTTTCCTAAACCTTAAAAACCTTAAGCCCTCTAAACCCTAAAGCCCCAAAGCCCTAAAACGGGAAGATTGCCTCACGCCAAGGGTCCCCAGCCTTGGCGCAGGAGTTGAGGGCCGCGCCATAATTCACCACGTCGGGAAGAAGTGCTGCGGCGGGCATGGCCCAGAACCTTCGGAAGAAGTTCGGGGTTTAGGGTTTAGGGTTTAGGGGTTTGGGGGTTTGGGGGTTTGGGGGTTTGGGGGTTTGGGGGTTTAGGGTTTAGGGTTTAGGGCTTAGGGATTAGGGTTTAGGGCTTAGGGCTGAGAAACGTTCTGAAGAGGTTCGGGGTTTAGGAGTTGAGTGTTTAGGGTCCAGAAACGTTCTGAAGAGTTTCGGGGTTCAGGGTTGAGGGTCCAGAACCTTCTGAAGAGGTTTGGGGTTTCAGTTTCTGGCCTCATTCATGGCATTGCAAGATGCCCATTCCGCTACTTGATGAAAAATAGGGAAACCATGCGAGAATACGCACACTTGGAGGTTTGGGTTGTAAGTACAGTTATAATGGGGTTACTAAGTACCATGAACCTCCAAGCACCCACAGGAGAAGGTATGTTGGATCATCCCCAATTCACGTCCAGGTCTCTGTCAAAACAATCCGTCTTCTTTGAATGCCGCCGCACCCGACAGTGACGGTACCGGTGAAAATTGGCACCCTAAACCCTAAATCCTAAATCGTGCTGGATGTTCGCAGATGAAGGCACTTATAGGAAGAAAGGTACCCCTGATCTACCCCCCCCCCCCAAATGCAGCAATCCTTGCATCGCTTTTCGGCACCTGTGACAGCTTTCGAATTCAGGGTGTCTAGGATTGGAGAGAAGTCCGTGCCCTCCAAGAAATGGGGCCTTTTCATGACGCGCTTTCATCGTTCGAACCGGCAGGGTTATAAGTAAGGAAACGATCGTAAAAGCCTTACTTAGGGTGCTGAGAACCCCACTTATGACTTATAAGTACTCATGAACCTTCAAGTACATGCCCAAAGCCAAGACAAGCCACAGCTGCAATGCCAGCTGCCACTGCTCTGCCTTTTCACAGGTGCTTATGGTTGCACCGTAGCTGATGGCATCCGGCGTGATCTGCCAGGGCGCGGCGGGAACCCAGTGTTGACCCCTTCAACCCGAAACCCCAAACCCGAAACCAACGCGAAAGCAAGGAGCAGGCAGTAGATCCTTTAAAGAGGTCTGACATAGGGGTCCTGCTCCTATCTCGCTGCTCCTAAGCATACATACATACATACATACAGATATACATATATATATATATATGTATAGTCTAAACGTGCGCATATACATATGCATATATAACATACTTAATGATATCACCCGCATTCGTCCGTCTCGCATCTAAGATGCTGAAGTGATGTGTGTATGTATGTATGTATATATATATATAAACACATGTACTTGTGTGCGCATGTATCTGTGTATATATATATATGCAACTACATACGGCGGGCGAGGGCTTCCCATGTCTGCGCTCATCGAAAAGAACGCCTGCGCACGGGGCAGGCTCCCGAAGAGATGCAACGCCAGCTGCCAGCACTGGCCCTTTTCGCAGGAGCTGAGGGCAGCGCTGTGGCCTCAGTTCATATACCCTAGTACGGAGTACTGTATTGTAGTACAGGGTATATGATGCTAGTTTTAGGGTTCGGTTGGTACCCAAGGCAGGGGAACCTCAAAAATGCGGGCACAGAAACCATGTAGAACTTTTTGGTGGGATGGCTGAGGAAACTGCTATGATTTTGTGTTTATAAGGGCTTCGATATGCAGGCGAAGTTCGCTTCAGGGCGGGTGCCGCCGACTGTATTCACATCGGGGGATGCTCAGAGCTTATCTCGCGTTTTGGGCCGCTTCAGGCTTTGGAGGCAGCAGTCTACCTCTAAAGAAATCGCGCATCCGGAGACGGAAAGCCGAAACATGTGGTTGTTCTAAATGTCCACTCCTGGGGGGTTACGGGGGCAAAGGAGCCCATAAAGTTTCCTATCAACCCCCACCCTCCCCCTCAAACCCGAAACCCTGAACCCTGAACCCATGTAAACCCTAAACCCTGTAAACCCTGTAAGCCTTGCAAACCCTATAGGGTTTAGGGTTCAGGGTTTTAGGGTTTAGGATTTAGGGTTTAGGATTTAGGAAACCATCTCTCTAAAACCTTTTAGGGGTCCGAGGCTTGTCACTGGCAGCGGTCTAGGGTGTAGGGTTGAGGGTTTATGGTCTAGGGCTTGGGTTTTGGCCTTAGGTTCAAGGTTCAGGGTTTTGGGTTCCACCGTGAGAAGCGAGCCCATAATCCTCTAATTCACATCCCAGAAAGGGCTGCACCTTGTACCCCCGAATGGAGTAGAATCCCCTGCTAGCAGCTTAAAGGGACCCAAAAGGGGTACCGGTACCCCAAGTTTTCGGAAACCCACACTTTCAAACATAGCACATTGAACCAACTCCGAACACAACTTTTTGTGCCTTGAGCACAGTGCGCCGGTCTGATGTCTGCGTCGCCTGCCGCGACTTTATCCAGCCAGTCACGATCTCAAAGCTAGGCTTTCCCTAAACCCTAAACCCTAAACCCTAAACCCTAAACCCTAAACCCTAAACCCTAAACCCTAAACCTTTAAACCCTAAACCCTAAACCCTAAACCCTAAACCCTAAACTTTAAACCCTAAACCCTAAACGTCGCACCCTCGCGCCTGCAGAGCGATTCAGGGACGACTTCGGCCAGCCACCAGCGTCCGGCCCCTGGCTCCTGGGTACTTACTAACAAGTAGGGCTACAAGCACCTTAATCTGAACTGAAGGTTATATCTTATAACGATGTATCGTTACCCCTACTTATGACCCTGCTGTCAAGTAGCCCTGAAGTGAAGGTCCTTCGGGGCTCCACGCGCAACATGTCAGGCCAGGCTTGGTTCGCCAACGCGTGTCGGAATAGGCCGAAGCCGACGACGTCTGTGTAAACAGCATCCAGAACTTGGCTTTGAAGATGATGTAAGCAGTTGTGCCAGGTTCCCACGCTTTGCGCGTTCGGCGGAAGGAGCGCCAGACTGCGATTCCAAAGCGGGCTGACCGAGCCGCGCACATAGCAGCACTGGAACTTCTTTGGTATCATGCTGGCCATAAGCAGCTGCGAAAATAATTGCAGAGTCATACTGAATTGAACAGCTTTCCTCACAGGCCCTGATGCCGGCATTGAAACTGATTTCGTCTGGCACCACTTTCACAGGCGCTGATGCTGGCATTGAAGCTGATTTCGTCTGGCACCACTCTGGCCGTTGGCATCTGTGAAAGCAAATGCAGAGGAACCTGCCAGTCACCACCCTTCTCACAGGCGCTGATGCTGGCATTGAAGCTGATCTCGTTCGGCACTGCTCGTGTCGTTGGCATCTGCGAAAGCAGTTGCAGAGCCATCTGCCACTCACCACCCTTCTCACAGGCGCTGATGCCGGCATTGAAACTTATTTCGTCTGGCAGCACCCTTGCCATCGGCATCTGCGAAAGCAAATGCAGCGCCATCTGCCACTCACCACGCTTCTCACAGGCGCTGATGCCGGCATTGAAGCTGATCACGTTTGGCACTACTCGTGCCGTTGGCATCTGCGAAAGCAAGTGCAGAGCCTTACTCCACTCACCACCCTTCTCACAGGCGCTGATGCTGGCATTGAAGCTGATCTCGTTTGGAACTACTCGTGCCATTGGCATCTGCGACAGCAAATGCAGCGCCATCTGCCACTCACCACCCTTCTCACAGGCGCTGATGCCGGCACTGAAGCTAAGAACGTTTGGCACCACTCTGGCCGTTGGCATCTGCGAAAGCAAATGCAGAGCCATCTGCCACTCACCACCCTTCTCACAGGCGCTGATAGCAGAACTGAAGCTGAAAACATTTGGCACTACGCTGGCGAATGGCATCTGCGAAAGCAATAGCAGGGCCACCTGCCACTTTCCACCGTTGTCACAGGCACTGATTGCAGAGCTGAAGCTGAACACGTCTGGCACCATTCTGGCCTCGGGCATCTGCGAAAGCAATTGCAGAGACAGCTGCCACTCACCCACTTTCGCACACGCGCTGATGCCTGCATTGAAACTGAACTCGTTTGGATCAACTCGCACAGAAATCATCTGCGCGAGAAGCTGAAGCGCAAGCTGCCACTGCAAGCCCTTCTCGCACGCCGTGATTGAAGCACTGAAGCTGCCAACATCGGGCAGCACCTCAGCTACCATGATGTCCGACAGAACTTGGATTGCAACCTGCCACTGCCTGGCCTTTGCGCAGCCCGCGATGGCTGCGCAGAATGCCTTCTGATCTCCTTCTGTTGGCGACAAGTCCTGGAGCAGATGGGCTGCAAGCTGCCAGCATTGTTCCTTTGAAGCCCAGTAACCATATTACAACAAGGGCACCCTTTTTTTGAGGTTGGTTCCTTTATAAGGGAACGCTGAACCAACAAAAAAGGAAAAGGTACCATTGGGCTACCTAAACCCTAAACCCTAAACCCTAAACCCTGAACCCTAAACCCTAAACCCTGAACCCTGAACCCTAAACCCTAAACCCTAAACCCTTGAGCTGCCAAGATTCCGGACAAGCTCCTCGGCACAATGTTGCAGGCGCGGCTCGATTCGTCACAGCAACCTGGTTTGGTGCTGCGGCGATCGACTCCATCACACATTTGCTGCTGCAGCGAGAAGAAGCTACCCGAAGCTGTTGTCTACTAATCAAAGGAAAAGGGTAATATAGGGATGATTATCTTTCATTCTTTTCAAGGTTCGCCTTAAGCAAACAGCGGCTATGCAGTGGCAGCCGTAGTTAGTCACGGAATGCCCCTTAGGTGGTCCCCAGGACCGGCTGGTTCTTAGTAGGGAATGGGGGCATGAGGTACCTGTATACTCCCTTCCAGGGTATATATGCATATATATATATATATATAGAGGGCCCTAACTCGCCCATTCCCTACTAATTCAGAACCAGGGGGACAAGACACCCAAACCAAGCCAGCATGCCTCCTACAGAAGCGCTGAGGGCCCCAACCCCAAACCTCAGACCCCCCTTACAAAATATGCACCTAAAAAGCCCTAAACCCTGCACCCGAAACCCGTAAACCCTACACCCCTTTAAAAAAACGTTCATCCCTAAACCCTAAGCCCTAAACCTGTAAAGCCTACACCCCTTAAACTGCCCAAAGCTGCTGCTAACCCGCAACCCCGAGTGCCCGGGCTGATCAGGTCCGGCGTCAGCTGTGCCCCAGCCATGTCTCCAAAGAGGTGTAAGGCCAAAGGCCACCTTGTGGCTTTGGCCTTAGACATTCCGTTCGAAGGACTTGGGGTTTAGGGTTTAGGGTTTAGGGCTTTCGGCGTTCCACGACTTGTGGGGTTATAGTGTTTAGACCTTTGCAGGGATTAGTACTTTCGGATTTTAAGTTTTTTAGGGCTATAGAACCCTACACATTCCCCGGCTCAAACCCCGAACTTGCCCAGAAACCCTGAAAAGGTCGTTGAACCCGAAGACTCGAAACGATGTGTTTGGGTAGGTTAATCTAAGTATCCTGGTGCCAAAACAAGGATACTATGTTTCGAAACGTAGTACGCAACATAACTCTACTATATGCTTAACTTAACTTCAGTCTTCTTTTGCCACTAGAGGGCTCCGTCTGAAGCATGACTGGCTGGTTCTTAGTAGGGAATGGGGGAATGAGGTACCTATATACTCCCTTAAAGTATCTATTAAAGGTATCTGAAGAGAGAATCTTGGTTTCTAGGAGTGCGTGGCTTGCGAGAGTTCGGAGCCAAGGGGCTGAGCGTGAAACGTATACCTAGAAAGACTCTACACCCTTAATCTGCCGAGGCCTCGGGCCGTAGGTGTCTGGGGAGCAAAGCAGGTCCCCTCCCCACACACCTTCACGTGCAGCCCTCATTTGCCACTCTTTTGGCTGGAATGGGTACCCCCCCCCTAGCCGAGAGGTGTGCAGGAGCCGACCGGGACCAGGGCGCATGTTGGCTCGGCCACCCAGGCCCCGGCCGAGGCGGGTCGCGTAGCGTTAAAACGGAATTGTGGCAAAGGTATACTTCCCTTTCTGAAAGGTACAAGCCTGATCTAGGTATTTGCCCTTGTCTATAAATGGGCCCTTGATATGGTTCCTTACCTCCCCTTAACGTGTTCTGACGTATGGGTATATAGGGCGGAACAAAGGGTTCCCTTTTGAGGGCCCATACTAACGGGCCACGTAACTACCCTAAGGTAGCCAGTATAGCCCAATCATAACCTTACTAGGGTGCTTAAAGGGCTGATAAGCGGGCTGAAACTAGACTTATAGTTGGGTGATAAGACCCTAAACCCTGAACCCTAAACTTTAAACCCTAAACCCAAAAACCCTAAACCTAAGTAGGAAGGGCCAGGAGGCGCAGCAGGTCATGGCTGCACCAAAGCTGATGACGTCCGGCAGGGCGGCGCGGCGAGGCATTTCCTCGGTTTTTGAGGGCGCAACGGTTTAGGGTTCAGGGTTTGGGGTTTAGGGTTTAGGGTTTGGCGTTTAGGGTTACGACTTGTAGGTACCCCAAAGAAGGGCTTTATAGGTAAAAGTATCCGAAATACGGCCATAGCCAGAAGTAGGGTCATAAGTTCTAAGTACCCTGAACAAGGTCATAGCCATAATTGCCTGCTGATAAGTACCCCTGAACATCCAAGAAGGGTATACTGGAAAACGTCATACAGGTTGCCTTGTAGTTGTAGCTCTGTTGGCCTTCACGGGCTTCGGGGCACAGGGGTAGGGCTGGATGGGGCCGAGGGCCCTAACTTGAATAGGTATGCCGAACCAGCACCAGCAAACTCGAAACCCCACCCTACCCCCCCTGCCACCCTAAACCCTAAACCCTAAACCCTGAACCCTCAACCCTCAACCCTAAACCCTGAACCCTGAACCCATTCCATAAAGCCTAAGCAAGGCTCAGAGAACATGTCCAAGGCTTTGCTCCACTCGGCCGCTTTGGAACAGGAGCTGATGGTGGCATTGTAGGCAATCCTGGCTTCGCGTGCTACGCAAGGTTTAGGGTTCTTCCTTTATCGGGTTTAGGGTTAGGGTTTCGGGTGTAGGGTTTGGGGCTTAGGGTGCGGGATCCTTGTACCAATAGTTTTTAACAGGGCTTATCGTACCCCGCATTACAAACCCTGTTAAGGACTGCGAGCAGAAGGGGGAACATCCCGATTTAGGGTTCAGAGCTCAGGATAGAGGAGTCGGGCTTTTGCGGTGTGAAAGTTGGCCGAAGCCAGCCTGATCAACCCCAAAGCGGGTTAGGGTTTAGGGTTTAGGGTTTAGGGTTTAGGGTTTAGGGTTTAGGGTTTAGGGTTTAGGGTTTAGGGTTTAGGGCTTAGGGTTTAGGGTTTAGGGTTTAGGGTTTAGGGTTTAGGGTGTAGGGTTTAGGTTTAGGGTTTAGGGTTCAGGTTTAGGATTTAGGGTTAAAAGGGACTTTAGCAGTGTGGTTTTGGGCCCCAATTGCCTGTCCTGGGGGGGGGGCCAGAGAGCTTCGGGCTTGTGGGGCTTAGGCTTTTTGTTTCAAGGCGCTGCGGGTTTAGGCTAGCTTTTTTAGTTTGTTTAGAATGTGTCTTACCCTAATCCCCTAAACTCTAAACCCTATACCCGAAAGGGCATGATGCACTCACTGTCAAGGCTTGGTGTCATAGGGCTCGAGGTTTCGAAAGGCTCGAGTTGATGTTCGGGTGTAGGGTTTAGGATTTAGGGTTTAGGTTTAGGGTTTAGGATTAAGGGTTTAGGGTCCAGATTGCATTTTTGAGTTTCAGGCTCAGGCTTGGGGCTTCTTGTGCTTTGGGGTTTGGGTGCTTCGCCGAAGCACACCGACCTACTGGTAACTTTGGGAACTGCCACCAAAAATTGGCCACTAGACCCCCGGAGAACCAATCTCCCTAAACAGGCCCCTACAGCAACTAGCCCGAACAAACCCCTAAACCCTAAACCCTAAACCCTAAACCCTAAACCCTAACCCTAACCCCTAACCCCTAACCCCTAAACCCTAAACCCTAAACCCTAAGCCCATGCGTTCACTGCGGGGTCGGCTGCATCCGAGCGGCGTGTTCGGCCGCAGCTTCCTGTCCACCATGTTCGCAAAGAGACTGACGGCCACCTCTGCGATCACTCGGGGGGTTTAGGGTTTAGTGTTTAGGGTTTAGGGTTTAGGATTTAGGTTTTTTTTGATCTTGGAGTACTAGGGACCCTTGGGCTACATACAAAGAACTCCATGAGGTTGAGATGCTTTGGGGTTTTGGGCATTTAGGGCTTTGGCTTTTGTAGGCCTGCTTGGTTCGAGGAAACGTTAGATGCATTTAGGGTAGGGCTCCTGGGTGCATGTTAGGGTTTAGGGTTTAGGGTTTAGGGTTTAGGGTTTAGGGTTTAGGGTTTAGGGTTTAGGGTCAGGCTTGAAGTTGAAGAGGCTGGGAAAGCTAGCTGCCACTCCATGCAGGTGTCAAAGTCAGGCAGCGTTCCTTGCCCGCAAACACATCTAGCCCATTTTTCGGAATAATGCGGCCCCACATGTGTGCATAAAAAGGGTACCATGAGAATCTAAAGAGCTGATCATAAATAATGGCAACCTTGGTTCCTAACAGCCCTTCCAAGGAGTAGAAGGAGTGCCCCCCGCCCGCCCACCACCACCTAAACACTAAACCCTAAACCGCAAACCCTAAAACGCAAACCCTAAGCCGAAACCCTCAACCCTGAAACACGAAACACTCAACTCAAAGCCCATTCAAACTGTTCTTCCTTCCTGGGCACTGGCCAAAGGCCCACCTTCTCACAGGCGCTGATGCCGGCCTCAATCGCAAGGGGTTTAGGGTTTGGGGTTATGGTTTAGGGTTTAGGGTTAAGGGGAAGGCTTCACCCCCCGAGCCCTATAACGGGCTCTTTGGGTTTTGGGGTTTACGGTTTAGGGCTTAGGATACAAACCCTGTAACTCAACGAGCCCCGAGAAACCTACAGCTATACACCCCCTTTGCCGGTCTACCATCCCCCCCCCCCCCCCAAAAAAAAAGCATGAAGGTTCACCAGGGTCCTACCCATGAAGCAATGAGGAGCTGGAAAACAATTCAACCCTGGACCAGTAGAACTTCGGCGAAGTTCTGAGGGCTCTAAACTCAGGATGGCACCCACATGGGGGTTGTTGAAGAGGATGGGAACCTAAACCAAAAAACCTAAACCCTTACCCTAAACATGTCGGGCCTGAACCCTGAATTGGGGTGGGGGGGTTGCAATGGAACCTGAACGAAGCTTAGGGAGCAACTTTTGGGGAGCCCAAGGAAGCGTTTTTTGGAATTAGCGTTTAGGGCTTCGGGCTTACTACTACTTTTCTTGAGACCCCCCCCCCCCCCCCCCCCCCACTCGCCCCCACATCCTTCCTGAAGGCCCTTGAGAGAATGTCTCCGAGGCTCGCTACAGCAAACAACATCTGGGTGCAGGTTGCAGTCCTCCATCAACGTGAACCTGCACAGTGACATTGACGGAATTCAGGGTTCAGGGTTTAGGGTGTCAGGCGCAGGCATACGTCCCTACAACACAGAGCTTACGTGCGATCGCCTTGCATTGGTAAGACTGCTTCTGCATAAATAGAACCCCAAGCTGAAACTCTACATCCGACCTGTTCAACGGGCACATAGACGTAGGGCTATATGGAAGCAATATGCACACAAAGAAAGTTGGATACATTGCTCGGCAACACTCAATTGCACAGATACAACGCACCGAAGGAACCGCAGTTTAGAGAACTACCCTTACAAAGCAACAGCAAGGTCACAGGCAAAAAAACGGCAAACCCGAACCTACTTTGCTCACAGTGAAGCTTTCTGGTACACCCGGTCTACCCCAACAAAAACCCTGCACTCCTGCCTAGAGCAGATAAGCTGCATAGAGTGAAAGCCCGTCCGGGCCATAACCTCACAATGGCAAAATAGATTTGCCTTGTATTCTGCAAGGCCTTAGGAACCACTAAGCGCGATAAACGGTAAAAACCCTCTACTTGCCCCCCAACCTGGCCCCCGAAACCCTAATTCCTGTAAACCCTGAACCCTAAACACCCTACTATATAAACACTCAATCCTCAACCCTCAACCCTCAACCCTCAACCCTAAACCCTAAACCCTAAACCCTGCAACCCCTCCAAATGTCTGCCAGCTGAGCTGCAGGTCCACTGCCTCGCGCCAGCGCTTGGCCGCACCGAAGGCGCCCATGGCCACCGTGACGTGGCCTTGCTTGCCCTATAGGCTCTTGAGTGGGTTTAGGGTTTAGGGTTCAGGGTTTAGGGTTTTAGGGTTTAGGGTTTTAGGGTTTTCGGGTTTTAGGGCTTTAGGGTTTTAGGGTTTTAGGGTTTTAGGGTTTAGGACTAGAGCTCGTTTCTCTGGCAAGGTATTTGGAGCCTGTAAGAGCTTGGTTCAAAGACTTTTAACTTTCATGCTCTTCACGGCCTCCGCATGCCTGAAGCCATTCTGCTGGTACGCGTGAGCGCTCTGTTGTCATGCGGCAGTGTCGCAGTCAGCAGGTCTCAGACACGTCATTCTCATAAGCATCGCCCATGCAAAGTGGGCTCCATTGCACTCTGAGAAGAGTCATCATGCGAGCTTGCTTGACTGCGCACTGCCGGCTCTTACCTCGTGGGATATTGCGAGCTCCCACCAAAATGTGCTGGTTGGTTTCCAAATTCGGGTTTAGGTTTTGGGGGTGTTGCCAGGCTTATCAAGGCTTCAAGGGTAGCTTCTGAACAACCTCCCTTGTGAACAGGACCCTGAGCCTCCAAAGCCCTGACCCCTAAAGCCCGAAACCCTGAACCCTACCCCCCCCCCCCCCGCCCCCTCACTCTTCCCCCCATATGTGCAACTGTTAGCGGCTTGTGTCCAGAGTTCCCTCTTGGCGCAGGGCGTCCAAGAAAGGGCGCAAGAGATCCTGACTTCGGGTGCAGGGTTTAGGGTTTAGGGTTTCGGACTTCAGGGGTTTCAGGGATTTTGGCGTTGTTGGAAGTTTCTGCCGGATACAGATTCCAAGTCTCTTGTGCTGAGTTGGACTCCTCATGGCTAGACGAAGCCACATTTATCCGCGCTTCACGGTCCATATTCCGTGGCTCGTCATTTGACCCCTCAGAAAGCAAAGTCGCGTAATGCTGACGGCCGACGGAGTTCCAGCTTCTTCCCTACTGTAGTGTTCGGGCTTGGGGTTGACGGTCTAGGGTTCAGGGTTTAGGGAAACCAAGCACCTACATCCCTTGAGGCCTTCTAGAATTACCCTAAACCCTAAAAATCCCGAAGCCCCAGAGTCCTAAAGTCATCCCGAAACCCTAAAGTCCTGAAATCCCTCTAATCCCTGAATTGCTGGACCCTAAACCCTAAACCCTAGACCCTAGACCCTAAACCCTCAGCCAAGGGAGCCGGCTGTCTTGCTCTCCTCAGCTCCTTTAAGACGAGCATGGCCTTGCCGGAGAAGGCCCCAGTTGTCAGGCTCACCACCCTAAACCCCAAACCCCAACCCTTGGGGTTTAGGGTTTAGGGTTTAGGGTTTAAGGTTTAGGGTTTAGGGTGTAGGGTTTGGTTTAGGGTTTAGACACACAATCAAAAGAGAGTCCCCTCTCTCCCCTCTCTCCCCCCCCCTGTATTGCGTAATGGAGAGCTAAGGGAACCGAGCCCGCGAACGAAAGGTTTTAGGGCTTAGGGCTTACGGTCTAGGGCTCAGGGATTAGGGCCCCATTAGCTTTTAGGGATTTGGCTTTTTTAACATTAAAAACCCTAAAACCCTAGATAGGTTTGTTAACGTTAAAAAAACCCTATAAGGGTTTAGGGTTTGGGATTTGGGCGCTACGAAGACGCAAGGTGCAACGCCGCTTTGCTGTCCTCGAGAGTCACTGTAGCTTTCAGGGTTCAAAGCCATGGTGCCTAGCAAAGAAGGCTTAGGGAATAGAATTCTTACAGGGTTTAGAAGGCCAGGCTAAGGATACACCTAAGACCTCACCTAGAAAAAACCCAAATTCGACCCGAACCCCAAAACCTCAAAACTGCACAAACTGTTGCAGCTGGAGTCCTCTAATTTCGACATGTCCAACAGAATGGAAACCCTAGACCCAAACCCTAACCCACAAAACCCCCCCAAAACCCCCCCAAGACCGTCTTTCAAGCCCAGAATTCCGCACTCCCAGTTGACGCGAAGGGGCAACCTTAGGCGTCTGGCGCCACTGTGGCAAACTCTGGTCCAACTCCCGGGCGATCTCGATCTTGCGGCTGCCCGTCTCCTGGTTTCGGGTTTAGGGCTTGGGTTTAAGGTTTAGGGTTTAGGGTTTAGGGTTTAGGGTTTAGGGTTTAGGGTTTAGGGTTTGGGGTTTGGGGTTTGGGGTTTGGGGTTTGGGGTTTGGGGTTTGGGGTTTGGGGTTTGGGGTTTGGGGTTTGGGGTTTGGGGTTTGGGGTTTAGGGTTTAGGGCTTCGGTTTAGGGCTTAGACCTTAGGGTTTAGGGTTTAGGGTCTCGGGTTTAGGGCATAAGTGGGTTTAGGGTTGAAGGATTTCGTGCTATTCAGGCCAGACCCCAACCCTTTCAGCCTCAAGCGGAACAGGCCTTTCCCGATGTAGGGGTGCTCATCAGGATTATCGTGATTTAGGGGTTCAGGGTTTAGGTCTTAGGGTTCAGGGTTTCTCCGGTCTTCGGAAAAACCAAATCCTGAATGGTGGTGATCTCGATTGTTGTATCAAGGGTCCCTGGCCCCGTGTAAAGAAAGTGCCCGAAAGAGGACCGTTAGAGAGGTAACTGAAAATGGAACCCAAAACCCTAAACCCCAAACCCCAAACTTTAAACCTTGCAACCTCTAACCCCAAACCCGATAACCCTATAGCCCTAGAAACCCTATAGCCCTATGTATGTAGGACCTTTATGCGTTATTTGACGGTCCTGCTTCGCCTTCCAAAACTTTAAGGATTTTAAGGAATTTAGGGGTTTTCCAAAATTTTAAAAGGACCACAAAATCCATAAAATTTTGAAAGCCCGGACCTTTCAAAATTTTAAGGATTTTAAGGAATTTAAGGCCTTTTAAATTTCTTAAAATCCTTAAAATCCTTAAAATTTTGAAAGGAAATTAAATTATTTTCCGGAAAGAGGCAGGCCCATTTTAAAAATCCTTAAAATCCTTACAATCCTTAAAATTTTGAAAGCCCGGGCCTTTCAAAATTTTAAGGATTTTAAGGAATTTAAGGCCTTTTAAATTTCTTAAAAACCTTAAAATCCTTAAAATTTTGAAAGAAAATAAAATTCTTTTCCGGAAAGAGGCAGGCCCATTTAAAATTTTAAAAATCCTTAAAATCCTTAAAATTTTGAAAGCCCGGGCCTTTCAAAATTTAAAGGATTTTAAGGAATTTAAGGCCTTTTAAATTTCTTAAAATCCTTAAAATCCTTAAAATTTTGAAAGAAAACTAAATTATTTTCCGGAAAGAGGCAGGCCCATTTAAAATTTTAAAAATCCTTAAAATCCTTAAAATCCTTAAAATTTTGAAAGTCCGGGCCTTTCAAAATTTTAAGGATTTTAAGGAATTTAAGGCCTTTTAAATTTCTTAAAATCCTTAAAATCCTTAAAATCCTTAAAATTTTGAAAGAAAATTAAATTATTTTCCGGAAAGAGGCAGACCCATTTAAAATTTTAAAAATCCTTAAAATCCTTAAAATCCTTAAAATTTTGAAAGGTTGGGGCTTTCCAAATTTTAAGGATTTTAAGGAATTTAACGCCTTTTAAATTTCTTAAAATCCTTAAAATCCTTAAAATTTTGAAAGAAAATTAAATTATTTTCGGAAAGAGGCAGGCCCATTTAAAATTTTCAAAATCCTTAAAATCCCTAAAATCCTTAAAATTTTGAAAGCCCGGGCCTTTCAAAATTTTAAGGATTTTAAGGAATTTAAGGCCTTTTAAATTTCTTAAAAACCTTAAAATCCTTAAAATTTTGAAAGAAAATTAAATTATTTTCCGGAAAGAGGCAGGCCCATTTAAAATTTTAAAAATCCTTAAAATCCTTAAAATCCTTAAAATTTTGAAAGGTTGGGGCTTTCAAAATTTTAAGGATTTTAAGGAAATTAACGCCTTTTAAATTTCTTAAAATCCTTAAAATCCTTAAAATCCTTAAAATTTTGAAAGAAAATTAAATTATTTTCCGGAAAGAGGCAGGCCCATTTAAAATTTTGAAAGCCCGGGCCTTTCAAAATTTTAAGGATTTTAAGGAATTTAAGGCCTGTTAAATTTCTTAAAATCCTTAAAATCCTTAAAATTTTGAAAGAAAATTAAATCATTTTCCGGAAAGAGGCAGGCCCATTTAAAATTTTAAAAATCCTTAAAATCCTTAAAATCCTTAAAATTTTGAAAGCCCGGGCCTTTCAAAATTTTAAGGATTTTAAGGAATTTAAGGCCTTTTAAATTTCTTAAAAACCTTAAAATCCTTAAAATTTTGAAAGAAAAATTAAATTATTTTCCGGAAAGAGGCAGGCCCATTTAAAATTTTAAAAATCCTTAAAATCCTTAAAATTTTGAAAGAAAATTATATTATCTTGCCGAAAGAGGCAGGCCCCATTTAAAATTTTTAAAAAAAGCCTTAAAATCCTTAAAAATCCTCAAACTTGTGAAAGCCCGGGCCTTTCAAAATTTTAAGGATTTTAAGGAATTTAAGGCCTTTTAAATTTCTTAAAATCCTTAAAATCCTTAAAATTGTGAAAGAAAATTAAATTATTTTCCGGAAAGAGGCAGGCCCATTTAAAATTTTAAAAATCCTTAAAATCCTTAAAATCCTTAAAATTTTGAAAGGTTGGGGCTTTCAAAATTTTAAGGATTTTAAGGAATTTAAGGCCTTTTAAATTTCTTAAAATCCTTAAAATCCTTAAAAACCTTAAAATTTTGAAAGAAAATTAAATTATTTTCCGGAAAGAGGCAGACCCATTTAGAATTTTAAAAATCCTTAAAATCCTTAAAATCCTTAAAATTTTGAAAGGTTGGGGCTTTCAAAATTTTAAGGATTTTAAGGAATTTAAGGCCTTTTAAATTTCTTAAAATCCTTAAAATCCTTAAAATTTTGAAAGAAAATTAAATTATTTCCCGGAAAGAGGCAGGCCCATTTAAAATTTTAAAAATCCTTAAAATCCTTAAAATCCTTAAAATTTTGAAAGGTTGGGGCTTTCAAAATTTTAAGGATTTTAGGGATTTTAAGGATTTTGAAAATTTTAAATGGGCCTGCCTCTTTCCGGAAAATAATTTAATTTTCTTTCAAAATTTTAAGGATTTTAAGGATTTTAAGAAATTTAAAAGGCGTTAAATTCCTTAAAATCCTTAAAATTTGGAAAGCCCCAACCTTTCAAAATTTTAAGGGTTTTAAGGATTTTAAGGATTTTTAAAATTTTAAATGGGTCTGCCTCTTTCCGGAAAATAATTTAATTTTCTTTCAAAATTTTAAGGATTTTAAGGATTT